ACTTTTATGGATCGACAACATTCAATTATTATCGCATGCGAAATGTCTTCAGTGATAATATCTTAAATGCTTGCATCCCGCAGTGAAGATGTCAATTCATGTTAATACTGGAAATGATCATGTGGCATCAATAGCTGTATACAGCTCTTCCATTTCTTATCGTTCTTTGGCATGTCTGGTGTCATTTACAGAAACTCGAGACTTCTTAGGTTGGCAAACACAGTATCGGGGAGAGTGGCAATTTTGTTTGAAGATAGATCCCTAAATAGATGGACATATGTACCATTTGATCAATTAAAAGAGAAATGAACAGATGCATTCATAAATAAACCAAGTTAAGATAACGAAGAAATAAATGATGGATGACATGGCTTAATCATATCAAAAATTAGATAATGATAAACGAGTGTAGAATTTCAACTGACTTCCATTTGAGCTCGTTTTTGTTCAAATAAGTGGTTTTTTTTCCGTAACCTTAGAAGGTCACTACAAGCTACAAAAAACACGTTTACGAAATCCTGAGACGTTTTTTAAGGAACTGAGCACTAACATTTTATATGTATTTTGAAATTCTCAAGTTATTGAATATCAGGACTGAAGGTAATTGCAATAAAATGTTGCTGATACACCCTGGTTTATATCGTCCTCAATTACTTTTATTATTACATCCACTTTGAAATCACTGGTGGTCCCTGTGATCTGATTGGCTCTAATTGGTGCGATTTATTCACGAATCGCATCACTTTGTGCTCTAAATCGCGTCTTTTTTCCACCCAATGAGGAAGTTACACTTAAAACAAAACAACCAATCAGATTTCAAGGCTTGTTTAAAGTAACCAATCAAATTGCAGGAAAATGAAAGACAAAGAGTATCATTTGGCAAATTTTGCAACTTTTGTTTCCATAACTCTTATTTCTCCCCCCCAAAAATGGATGAATTTAATTTTTTCCAGTTTTTGAATGATGACAATGAGATCCTTCAGGCTGAAGACCAACATTCCAGGGACTTTCCCACTTTTCGTGTACATTTTGGTGAATATTTTGACGATTTTCTACCCTCTCAAGCTCAAAATGCGCGCGATCCCGAGTCCACCGAGTCAGCAACAAACGAAGAAAATCAAAAGCCACCACAAGAGTTAGATGTTTCAAGATTGCCTGTCATTTCAAGCGATGAAATACAGGAGCTTAAGTCTGTCGCTTCGAATAAAAATACGTCCCGCTCCACAAAACAATGGATGAATGTTTTCAGAAGCTGGTGTCAATGCCGCCATCTTGAATATGTCTCCATCGAAGCAAAGGCGCCTGAAGAACTTGACAAGGTCTTGAGTAAGTTTTACGCCGAGCTGAAAAAAAAGGACGGAGATGATTACGAGCCAGAATCCCTTAAAATCATGCAGAGTGCCATTGAACGGTATTTAAAGGAGAAGAACTATCCATTGAGCATCGTGCGATCGAGAGAGTTTCACTCCTCACAAGAAATCCTCAATGCGAAAGCAATTTCCCTGCGTCAACAAGGAAAGGGAAAGAGACCCAACAAAGCTCAGTCAATCACACCTGAAGAAGAGTCAGCCCTGTGGGAAAAAGGTCAGTTGGTTGATTTTAATGGAAAGGTCTTGACCAATGTCAACTTCAAAAATTTGACAGAACAACTGGGATTTCGTGGTCGCCAAGAACACTACGATGCATACGTGGAAGACGTAATTATAAGACAGCGAGAAGATGGAACTGAAGTTGTTGAGTTCAGGGAAGGTCCCACTAAAACGCGGAGCGGTGGTCTCACCATCAGGCGAAGAACAACACCACAGGCAATGTTCAGCACCGATGGCGGAAAAAGCGATCCAGTGCGGCTATTCAAGCTTTGGTTGTCCAAGCGACCCGAAGGAATGAAGAACACAGGGCCACTCTATCTAAGCATCATAAATCGTCCTAAATCAGCAGATGTTTGGTACACCAAAGTTCGAATGGGACAAAACACCATCGGCGCTTGAGTCTCATAAATAAATTACGAGACGAAAGTCTCTGATCAGAGGAAGTGCAAAGGTTAAAGTAGTTATTTATCTCTACAACACCAGAACCGTTGGGTCAGTTCCTCTCATTTACGGCTTCATTTACACAGAGGCAAGAAAGCAAACTGTGCCAGCAGCTCCACAAAATTTGCCGAAGCGGTGTAGCCGTTTAAACACAGCCACCACAGTGGTTGGAGTGGTGCTAGCAACAACGGTGTCAGGTTAGTTGCCGGCTATTCTGTTGCCGTCTGTTCTGGCACATATAAATACCGACGGGAATAATTTGCGAGCCATTTTGTGGTCCTCCAGTTACACTGTAGCCTCAGCTCCATGAAATACCCGGATTTATGTCAAACGAAAAAATATCATAAATTCTAGGAAATAGCTAACATGTACCTCGATTCAATCATGCGGGTTTTTTGGCCTCCTGTGATTTTTTGAGGGGATGATTTGTAGAGAGTGCAGTGGTTTGTAGTTCCTTTGCTTTTTCAAAGAAAATATTTAGAGGGGAAAACAGAAGAAAAACCAGTAATTCACTAAAAAAGACGACCCACACCACTACGCTGCAGACAAGGGACTGAAAGGAGCATACCTCATACTTCTTACCCTAACCCTAAGCTTATAAATGTAGGAGGTGCCTTTTTTTGGTTCCTTAAGACAACCGTTTTCTCGATTATTGTTAGTACATCGAGCTTGGCTTCCTTTAGAATCAGCACTAGTAGGTGATTTTAAAAGACATCTGCAATGTCTTCACGCTAACGGAATTTAACATTATCTTTTTGAAGAATAAAATTTTCCTTAGAGATCGAGTAAGAGACAACGTGTAAGCAGTAAAATTTAGGTTATAAAAAACGATGATAAAATAATTGATCGATAGTAACTCAGTTCTCTCTCATTCAGTAACTAAACAGACAGTTAAAACAAGTTAATAGACAGTTGAAAGAGCTCAAGAAAAACTATCAAACATCTATATCATTTAAACATTGATTACAAACTGTAGCTGTTTATTGATGCTGGCTGATCCTTTCCAGTTGTTGAAAACTACTTCAATTGTGAGTCATAATCAGGAAATAAACCTGAGGTGGTGCCTCTGCCAACTACACGTATTCCTCAGTCATTTCATTTTACATGTTTGATGCGAAGCCAAGTATTTCGTTCGTTGTTAAATCGATAAAGCTTCTTTGCACAGAAGGTTTTTTCAATGGATCCATCAACGATCTAGTAATTATTCGAAAGTCTCTTAAACAGAATCTATCCAAAAACTGACTAAAAATATATCCATGCATCGCCACAAAATGAATTTAAATAAACTTGATTAATTTCAATAAAATGCTCCAATATCCATGCGTTAAATACATTTATCATATAGATTATGGTGTTATACAAGGATTTCCAGCCCTGAGAAAAACAACACAGCTGAAAAAATACGATATTTTTTCACATGTGTTTGATATCGCCAATCAGCTGCTGACACGTCACTCGCGCCACTCGGTCAAAATGATGAATAAAGCCTTCACCATTCTCAATCCAGGGTCGTTTGTCGGAGTTTTTTCAGATTATGGCTGCTGAAACACTAAAAAATCCGCTTACAGACAGTTAGGCTCAAAGTTTCCTAGAAGGAAAACAAAACCAAATACGAAAAGAAAAACCGAAAGTTACGTATTCAGCGGCTTTGGTAGTGGCATTTCTTGCGGCTGAGAGAGAGAACGAAAATCATCGACAACTCGAAGATTTGCCACAAGCCGATTTTGGCCGTTTATCTGAGAGACTTCTTCTGTCGGTAAGGACAAAGTCAATAAATGAGAATTTTGTTGACTGGAAATTACGCCCATTGTTTTATTTGTAATCATGATTCAACCCATTTTTCCATCATGAGCCTTAGCGCCAACGTACGGTACGATTGTCGATTCTTTTATTTTCATTCATTAATGAGGTCGACTTTTCTTGTCACCAAAGGCTATTGTGTTAACATGGTAAACAAAATAATACATGGTTGCTTGTAGATGTTGAATTTCTCTTCTCGTGTCCAACTCGATATCTCAGCCGTTCGCTGCGCTCACTCGGAGCTATCGAGTTGAACACTCGAAGAGAAATTCCATATCTACGCGCGCCGTTATTTATTCTCTATTTAATATATTTAATGTATTGTGGCAAGAAAGCGACTAGAAAATTATAACACCTACCAATGAATTGAAACTTGCTCATTTTTTAAATCGTTTGTTTGGTCAATGTTACTGGTCCTGTTTGAATCAAAAATAACGAAAAAAAATTTACCCCCAAGCTTCTTCCCTTAATAAACTAAAATCAGTTTGAAGTCCCATTAATACGACAAACAGAGTTGTTATCAATATCTTTTGATTTAGGCCACCTTTACGTATTGCTTATTTATATCGCTATAAAACTTGTCAGAGCAACACAGAATATTTACAGCTTACGTCCGATCAAGAATATGACCTGTCCTTGAAGGCAAAATTTTGAAAACGTCTTTGAGTGGGCTAACCGTGCTAAAAGAGTAAAGATATTCAGCTCTTTAGAGTCTGATCAAATGATATCTTTTTTTCGTTTATCGGAGTAAATTATTGACACCTTGTAGTATTGAAATATTATACCAAAGCTTGGCGTCTTATTCATCCGTTTTTTCTTGCCACGGATGTGCGAGCTTACTCGAAAATCATAGACAAGTTTCACGACATCAATTTCGCAGTTCTGATGTATTCGCGACCCGGTTTGGCGAGGAGAATTTAATTTGAGCAATACGATTGATAGTTCTTTGCTGAGAGACAAGTCGTATTATAGAAAGGGGGTTTTTCGAATTTCACCCATCCCTTTTTTTTGTTCTAATCGATCAGGACTGATATATGAATTAGATTGTGCCCTTTCCACCGCCTGCTGAGAAATACGGCCAGAGAGTTCAGACTCTTCCAAAGCTTGTTATGTCGGAATGACTCTATTTTGGCCAATGAGGGTCGGAGGTAACCTTCTGGAAGCACCCTCGAGAACCCTTTGAATCAACTTCCTTACACTGCGGCGAAATTTCGAAAACTTGTAAACGTAGATGAATGGATTGATGCAGGAATTGGCACAGATCGCCGTGAGACACTTAAATACGACCTTCCGTATCTCTTCATTGTTTTTTAAAGATGCAACGATCGCTGGAGATACAATCCCCGGAAGCCAACACGTCAGAGTAGTTATCAGTACCAGCCCAACCCCTCTAGTGGCCCTGTCGACCATAATGTTTCGATATGGATATTGATTTGCAGTCTGGCTAACGATGCGTCGCGCTTGCGGTCTTGCTTCTCTGTAAATGACACTATACATGAGGGGAACCAGCACGATTATGAGGCTGATGTACAAGTGGAAGATATGTAAGGCGATTGAAAAGTTGCTTACAATTAGCAAGCCAGCGGAGAGAGATATCATCCATGAAATTGTCACCAGCGAAATAGTGTTTTTTTCAGTCACCCAGGTTATATATTTGTAAGGAAAATATATGGCCGAGAAGCGATCGAAATTCACAGCCAATAAACCACTCATGGAGGCAGTTATTACGCTATGGCCGATGAATGACATGTACACTTGACTTACGCCATAATTTTTGAACTTGAGCACCAAAAGAGGTTGGTAGCCTGCACAGACTAGGAAATCAGCCAGAGACAGATTGATAAGAAGGATCTCTGTGGGTTGTCTTGTCGAGTTAAACACAAAGAATGAAATTATGATCAGAACCGCCAAGAATCGCTGTACCGCTGTTGAAGAAAACAATTAAAACTGAGTCCCAGTCGGCCATGGAAGAGGATAAAGCAGCACGCGCAAGACAATATGTAGATCACAAAATATGGACATCACGTTGTAACTAACGATTTTGATAAACTTTAAAAGGGGGACGATGGCTAAAATACATTGGAAACAACAACAATGTCGTTAATAGCCTCATTGAAAAGGGACACATTGGTTACAACCTCTAAGAAAAATCGATCAATAAGGCGGTGAAGCGGTAATCATAAAGTAGCTTTAATGTAACTTTCCATGAGAAGAACACTTCAAAGTAAGTAGAAATACTTCAAGACGTCAGTTGATGCCATCAAAATGTATCTATTCCGTTAGCGCCTAATGGAGTCGCGCCACTTTGATAAAAAGTTGTACACTGATGGATCAATTTTCGATTTCCAAAGTAGCATTGCCTAATCATTATGTCAGCGCTTTGAAACAGCCTTGACGTAATTCGGTCTTCCTTTTTGACTAACAGTCACTCAAAATAGGTGAATTAAGAAGTCCAACCGAAAAAACTTTAAGAGACGCATTTAGTTTTAGATGTTACCGCATGCCGCAGTGTTGCCAAAGTGGTTCAATGTCGATCGAAAGAAAATAATTTTTGGAACCATATATCAAAGAAGGAACCCGTAGAAATCACACATTTCTGAGGGTTATAACAATTTTTTTCGGTAAAAGCCTCTATTCTAGTTTTTCTTTAGAAGATTTACAAAGATCGCTTGTCATCATTGGAAATGTTGAGTATTTATTTCTCTTCCGGAGGCACTTTCGCCATCTCTTTGTGAGCTTTGTAAGCTCTTTGTAAGCTTTGTAAGCTTTGTAAGCTCTCTGTAACCTTTTGTAAGCTTTGGAGATATGCTTTGATTCAATATCGTTAGGTTAATATATGGATAACTTGATTAGGGCATTTTCAACAGCTAAAAAGATCCACAGGAAATTGTCCAGCTATTAAAAGCACTCTTCACTTTCCTTTAAATGACAGATGTCTTTTTGATTAAGACTGAAATATCACCGGGAGATACACCCACCTCACATGTCGTCTATAGTCAAGCACTTACGTCAAATAAGAATTGAAATATACTACTTCATGTCCCAGCTTTTAATTAATTTCCCTCTTAAAATTGTCTAGCGGTAACTGTACATGTTAATAACGCTTTTTCCATGTTGATATCCAATCAAATTCTAGAAAGTACGAAGCGCCTTAAAACCTAGGATTTTCAAGGAGTACGTATTTTAATTGCTTTTATTTAACAAATCGATAGTGGTTTAGCGTGGTCTGAACTCTTTCGACAACGATATTTGTCATCAAAGTGGTCAAGATGTTGTGGACTCATGAGTGAACAAACTTCAACAAACTGCAACAAACCGCTGTCGCTTTGTTTTTAACCCCGATAATGAAGTCAAATAAAGCGATTCCTTCAATGCTTAACCATTACGTGACACCTTGACGCGAGCAGCGTTTTCTGTATCCTTATCGGTGGCGGCAAATTGGCTAATCATATAGCGACATTACTGCCAATTGTGATAAAAATTATTTTTGAGCTTCTTTTTTTATTCGCAGTCTTTCGTCCAGTGCCCAAATCAGCGTAATCGGCTGTTTTTATTTCTCTTTTGTATCATATCCCGCTCAACAGAAAAAAGAAAATATTTTTTCTGTACTATGATCATATCTCAGATCTTCTCCTTTAGTTGCCCTGCGCCGAGAAGACATTCCGAGCAATTAGATAACAGGTGATTTTCTAACAAAAAAAAACATTCTCGACATGCGGATATAGAAAGAGTTCCATAAACTCATTGGTCAACTTTGTATGGTTTTTTTTTCTTACACAGAAAACGCTAATCGAAATTAAGAGAGAGACTCACGATTTCTGCGCCACTCCGTGTAAACTTGCGCGGCCATCCATGCCCATGACAAGCGTACCGCTGTCAGGTACTGGCGCTGGTAACATTTCCAATAAAACGTTTCGTACGTACTTTAAATTTAGTCTTCAAAACTTTTGTGGACAGGAACGGCTTTAATGAACTGTGAATAAGTTTTAGTTGTACAAAGATACTAGGCATAAATGCCAAGAGGTATTTTTACTCTTCTTCGATCTCTTTCCACTTATCATGATAATTCTGAGTCTTAACTCAGCTGGTTTTGACGAATGGACTCTGTCCTTTGAAGAGGGTTACTTTGTTTTCATCATCCTGGCAAGAGTCACGGTCTGGCCAGGACTCATAAATGAAAGCGCCTTTAGTTTCAAACTTCTTGCAAAGGCTGACAAGCATTACGGGTTCGAATAAGTCCCAAATAGTTTAACCTCGGGTTAATTCTCCTTTGGCCGATTGAAATCGGTAGTAACCTGCCTAAGCTACAATCGCGAATCATTTTGATGAACTTTATCAAGTTCATCAAAGTTAAGTTAAGTTGATGTAAACGTAGATATATGGATTGAAGCAGGAATTGACACAAGCCACAGTTAGGCACTACCAAAAGGCCTTCTCTAATTCTTCCTCAGTCTGGAAGGTTGATCAGAGCGCTAGAACCAAAATTACTGGCGTCCGGCACATTAGGGTTCTCATCGAAACCAGCTCAACCGTCTTGGTGGCCTTGTTGATCGTCTTACGTCGATTTGGAAGGTTACGCTTGGAAGAAGGCAGAGACTCGATAAAGATGCGTAGAGCTTGCTCTCTTACTCTACATGTAGGGACCAACACGATCATAGGGCTAATGTACTAATTGAAAAGTTGCTGACATGCAGTTAACAAACCTGAAGAGAGGGATATTACCCTAAATACTTTCCTAACCCAGACAGTATTTTTCTTAGTCATCCAGGTCAAATATTCATAAGGAAAATAAATAGCTAAAATTCTTGGAACGCTTAGTGGGTCGCGTTTATTCTATAAAGGCGGTATTTAGCAATAGAACTGACCTTACGTTTATATATTTTGCTTTCTTTTGAGCAATAATGTACTTGAAAAAACGGTGCATTAGCCAAGACTGGAAATAAGACACAACATCTTTCAAAAGGTGGCATAAGATATTATCCAGGAAATTTCATTAGGGTTAGGAGAAAGGCTTAGAATTTTTGGTCGGATATGAGCGCACGATCGGTTTTGAGAGACAAATTGTTGATATTTAATCAAATTTGCAAATTTTCATACATAGCACATTGAAGACAAGTTTTTGAAAGAATGTGAAGATACCATTTGAAATCTCTAAACATTGTCATTTTCATAATTAAAGAACGCATTTTTTTAATGCAGAGAAAAGATCACATAGTTGCTGTAGCACGTTTTGAATTTGCTTCAGGTGGTAGTTATAAAGTTTATTTCGCGACTCTCGTTTTTACAAAAGTGAAAACGATAATCCATGAATCGAAGGAAGATCAAGAGCCGTCGAGCTCAAGTAATTATCCCTGACGTACTGTTCAAGCTGTAAATTTAAATGCAGAAAATCAGTACAAATTTGCGGCTGTGAGATTAGCCTGCATTAATCATGGTTTCTAATAAAAAAAAAATACGAACCAGAAACTTCAAGTGTCAATCAAATTTTCGTTGTGTGTAAAAAGCTAAATATTATGTTGCTCTTTTAAACTAAAACCTTCATACCATTGAAACAATAAATTTACCGACAGGCATTTACTGCTAAGTTAGAAAAATCCCTTAAACGAATACCTGATCGTAGTTTCTATCAAACTGTAGTAATACTTTAAAGGAGGAAAAAAAATCCTTTCAAGAAGCAAATATCCTCTGGAAGGCTGTTGAAGTAGGAATAGACAGGTAATTTAACAGATCCTAAAGTTAGAATGATAGAATTCTTTAAGAAACAGCCATACTAACGTTGCATCCCTCCTGATGGGTAGGGGGGTCTATCTCCTTGACCAAAACATTTTATGCCATCTGGTCCAGCTACAGCCGATCAAGCACAAGAATAAAAAAAAAATTGGAATGAGAGAATTTTATTATGATTATAAAAAACAATAATGATAATAATAATAGTTATAGTAATATCAAACCCCAATAAGCTCTTTCCATTCATTCATTTTAAATTAGAAGTAAATGAATGAACAAATGGATGGATTGATTGATAAATTAAATAAATAAATGAGGAAAAGCAAAATTAACAGCTTGGTCCCTGAGCGTGCCATGATAAGCAAAACTGGTCCGCGGTTAGTTACTTAATCCCATAGCAAGTTCTGCATGTGGTCTTTTGGATGACTTTTAGTTTTCCTTTTCACACACCAAGATCTTATTTATTATTTACTTATTATTAACTTGGCATCTAAAACCTAGCCTTTGGGGGTGCAAGAAAGTATGTGGTGTAACCATTTAACTTTCGTAGGCAACCACTCGCAAATCGATGGGCCGAGATCATTTAACCCTCAATATCGAATTTGGCCCAAACGATACCCAGTTTTGTACTTTTGAAAATTAAATTATCTCAGTTTGATTAACAATTTTTTGCTAGAAATCTACTCACGTCCGCGTTTGATTCCCTTGAACTGCACCTTGCTCGGAAAGTCGAAGTCATTCTTAATCTCAGGAATTCTCGTTGTCACTTGATAACCATTAATGGCCGTCAAACGTACGCTCAGAGGAGTTTCCATTTTCCCAAGTCCTGAAGCGATGAAAAAGTTGTCGGAGACACGTTTCATACAGTGGTACCTCCCGTTTACCAGGAGTTCCATTCCAGCCGTTGGTATTCTTAAACAGAAGAAAAAACCGATCGACAGGATGAGAAAAATTGAAAACTTGACTCTATTTGTTAAGAAGTAAGTAAGGATATTTTGACTCATTTATATTTTCTTTGCATCATTTCGTTTCGTTTCGTCTTGTTTCTTTCGTTCTCTTCCGTTCCGTTTCGCGTCTTGTCTTGCCGTGTCGGGTCGTTTCGTTTCTTGCGTTTCGTTCCATTCCGTCTCGTGTCGTTTCCCTTCGTTTCTTATCATATCGTATCATTTTTTTATATTATTTTTGTTTTTATATCATCCAGTGCAGCCATCTCAACTTAAAACAGAGCAGTTTTAGTTTTTGGTCCGTATGAGTCTTATCACGCTAATTTGAAGCAACATTTAGCATAAATCTCACTTGGTATTCCTTGCTTGTAGCTTGATGTAATAAGGGTTGCTTCCTTGGAAACGAAACTGAATTTTACCATCGATCCCTCGAAGGGTCGGGCAGTTAATAGCCTGATAGTGAATTTTCCACCTTCCATCGCCAGAAACGGCGAAATCTAACCCATCTGTAGATTTAAAAGAATATATAAATTGTTCTTCTTACCTTTTCAATCAAATTTCCTGTTATAATTCGATACAAGACACCTTAATGAACAGTTTGAGGATGAATTTTTTTGCTCGCATCGAAAAGTTCTAGAAAAGAAACACGTAGCTAAACATTCCGTGAATTTACAGAATCCTAAAATGAGGACCATTCATCACACAATCAAATACAAAGACACTGATACGTACTGTTTCCACATCCACCGGGGCATATATCAACAATCATTGCTCTTCGGTTTCCTGTAATGGGGTTAGCCCCACTCCCTTCTCCCGTGCCAGTGATTTGAACACACATACCACACCCAACAGACTCCTGGTAGGTTCCAGGCGCAGCTGCAACAATAATCCAATTTTTCTTCCTAATGGCATTCAAAATGTTCGGAGACAACGGGTTAAGGGTGCATTTTCCTTTGCCACCTTGTTCTCCATAGTACGTGGCCTAAAATCATACAAATTTAGAATAGTGAACAACACTCTTAATCCTTACACTCCCAAGATCTCGTTAGTAATTCTCCTCGCTGGTTGTTACACAATTCTTATGGTTTGAGTTGGAAAATTTAGTCTTGGATCAGCTGATTAACCCTTGATCGATATTTTTCTTTATTCTCATCACTTGTCTGCTTGATATTGTATTCATACTGTCAGGAATATTTAATAATTATTATTATAATAATAATTATCTCTTGTTGGTCAGTCATGGGAGTGGAAGAGTTAAAATCCAAAACTATCATGGCTTGTCAATTTAGATGTCATGGATTTATAAGATGACTCTTGAATTGCTTACGATAAAAAACTGGAAAGAATTCACGTTGTATAAGTCGATCCTTTTTTTGTTAGGTACGTGTGAAAGAAAGCAGACCTTTAACTGAACTCATCAGAGATGCTCCGTTCCCCCTTGATGTTCCGTTGTTAGTGGACATGACTGAACACTGACTTTTGTATTTTATTTATTTTATTTCCATTTTTTGCTGCCTCCTAATTTTTTTGGTTTGATTTTCCGCACCACCTTGCTCCATTTTAAGTAATTATAAAATGTTTCAATAAAACCACACAAAAATCTTCACATAAAACAGAAATTAACCACTGATAATGGCAAATTGCGAAGATAATAGTAAGATGCGAAGATAAGAGTGATAAAATATCCATATATTCATTTACATATTGATATTCAAATATACAAAGTCAATCATTGACAAAAGAACATACGACAGCAAAATTACGAAACAGGTATGGATTTACTTACGTCGACATTAGAGATTCTATTGTTGAAGCGATTGTAAGTGGCCTTTACGTGAGAGAGTGTTGTTTCTGCCTGAATAATAGAAAAAAGAAAACAGAAATAAGCAAACCAGCAAAGGATTGCGATATCATTGTCGAAGAGAGGGGGCTCCACGGTCCAACAATAAAATTGACATGCATGATATACATATTTTGTTCCATGCTAAGTTACTTCTTTCTCCTGATCTTTATTTTCACGTTGACTGCATATAAGAAATCTTCGAACTACTTTGGAATCGTCAACAACCATCTTTAACAGAATGCAAACATGGAAGTATCAGATTAACTTTTTTCGAGTCGAGCCAGATACCGAAAAGATTTCCTTTGTAATCTAAGATTTACCTGAATAATCAGAAATACCCACTTTTGCCTTAGTTGGTATTTTCAGCGTACCTTTTGTGACTCCCGCGATATGTTGTTCTAACGGAATAGTCCATTTACACATTTAGTAAATCTCCTCGATGTTCTATTTTCCATGAAACAATTGAAAGCAAGCCGACTGCTGCTGTAAATAACATTTGATTGCCCACCAAAATAACGATGCGATTCGTTCCTCAAGTGCACAGCATTTTGAAGGAGAATGAGTGAGTTATCTATCTTAACAACGTATGAATTAAGTATCCTTTTAACTTAATTTAAGCGATCGGCTCGGATAATCTGATGATTTTATCTTGAAAAAATTGAAGACTTCATTGTCGTCGGTAGAAAAAAAATTCCTACCTTGATGGTGGTTGTAAAGAAAGCCAAAAGAGCAACGAGAATGGACATCTTTGGCTTTGGGCTCATTTCAGTAAAAGTAACTGTGGTTATACTGGAGATACAGTTCCTTTCTTTTCCTTTTCTGAGATGTTTAAATGAATAATAGAAGGTAGTTTTCAAGCATTCAGGATTTAACAAATACAGACTCAAAGTTTATTTGCCATCAAAGAAGGTGAACGAGTTATATTGGTACAGAAAAGCACATGAGTTTGATCAGTTGCTTAGAGTAAAGAAAGGCCCTAACGAGGAATTCTATACTCAGAAAGATGTGATTTAAACGACGCAAAAGTTAAACATGAACGTCGCTCAAATAAAACAATACTATGAACACTTCAGACCAAAATTTTATAAAGGAATCAATGGGATATGAAGTTTTCGTTTCGTCTATTGTTCATTGGCAAACAAAGCTGAGGCGATAGCATTTACGATCTCTTCTCAACGATACGGTTGTCGCGTACACAATGCAGTTGATCTATATTTACAATCTCTAGCTAATGTTTCGCGTGTTTTTGTGAGGAAACATTACCAGCTATCTTGCAAAATATGTTTCATAAGAAGTTACTATTATCTTTTTCTCGTTTTTGCGGGCATCATGCGAGCCAACTTGAATTTTTCCCAATGCATCCTCGAACAGACTTCAAAGAAGTCTTCTTAGTACCCGGGCCTCCCACAACCCACCCACCACAAGATTAAGATCTGTAAAGGCTGATGAAGCATTTAATTCATTTAAACTCTTACAATCGCACGAATCTCAATGGACTCCACCAAAAGCAGACGAATACATTATTTAATTACTTTTTTAATTTATGAAACTGACAACATGGATCATGTTTTAGTTACAGTAGAACATGCAATAGATCGCAGCTAATATCCAGCTCTCCACGAAAAAGCTTTTGATCCAGGTCCAGAATATGTCAAACTGGTCTACAATCTGAAACAGTGAAGTTAAAATAAAAAACAATTTTCTTTGGATTATGAAAACAAATATGGGATAGACACATCGTGCATAATGCCTGGATGTTTCACAACATTTGAGCTTTGAAGAGTTCACGTAAAAAATGGATAAGAAGCTTAGATTAGCTCGCTTTTGATGGAAAACCCTTTGGCGTTTAGAAGTAGAAGGTATAGCTAAAAATTATCCCCAATTTTCCATCTTAAAAGTATAAGATTATTGGCCCTATGTGACTTAAATTCCTACATTGGAGAAGTTATGAGTTTTTTCGATATTATGGCCAATTTTGGATGCAGCAACACGTTCAGAATTTGAATGTCAGCTTTATGGGGAGAGAAAACCCGCGAACGAGTGTGCGCAACCCGCTAACGAAACCAGGTCAAAGAATCAAATCCAGGACAAAATAATGAATTAAGGGTGGTGGGGGTGAGGTGGGGGGAGGGGGGAACCTAAAGTTGGTGAGGGCGTCGAGTCGAAACTTGATAAGTAGTTAAGTTAAGGTGTAAGATCCTGAAAAAAAAAGTTTTCTGGCCTTGCATGGTCTAACATTGAGGATGCTTTACGAAAAGAGCAAGAGTTGTGACAGAGGAATTCTCAGTAAAACAAATATTGAGCTAAAATAAGAAAGAATTAACTACAAGAAAGTGCAAGCAGTCGAACTGTGTACTCGTTATACACAGAAACACTTTTCCAACGTCTAATTTTAGGATTTTTCGTAAATGGCAGACCGAAGTTAATTTGGTGGTATAATCGAGTCAAGTAACTTACGTTAAAGGCTGCTCCCTGGATACTGATGTTTATCGCCAGGTTAGAAACATTTCTATATGCTGGAAAACCTTGCTAACAAAATTAATAGTCAGAATATCAGTTCGATGGTGATTTTTCTAATTGATGCTCGAGTGTTAACGCTGTAATTTCCTCGCAACACTTAAAGCCAAAGCAGACTGGCCGGGTGCTTCTGTTCACAGATCTTTGTCTAAAACTGCGTCGTATGTACGTAAGGTCATTGCAAGGGTCCAGCAGCTTTAATTTTAGCGTCTTGTGTCGGGACAGTTTTTTTCGCATGCAGTTCTATAAGTTTATTGAATTGAATTGCCATTTCGTGTGTTTCGCCGTTTTCAATAAACTATTCAAATCACAAAAATGTCTAAGTGATTCACAGCACGTTTTTCCTGCTAAGACTATAAGCACCACTTTAAATATTGACCTATTTAAAGTGCCCGTAGGTGTAAAGCCGGCTTTTCCAATTACAGCGTCCGCACTTAAAAAATAAATGAACCAAAAATGTGGAAAGCTTTGTAGCTGACTAGGAACAACGATTAATTGCTGTCAAGATATTGCACATAGATTATCTTGTATTTTTCTTCAAAATAATCTGTTTTTAAGGATATGATACAAAACAAGTTCCAACCATTTTTCTTTGTTCGAATTGAAAAAAGGGACTCACCTCCAACGCATCGAATATGAACACACGCGTATGACAACATACACGTATGACAAAACACAGACAGAGAACTACACTTACGTCATCGAAGACTCGTTCCCTGTAGCGTTTGTCAGAGGCTTCCACGTTGGAAATAGCTTTAACATATGTCGCCTAAAATGATCAGAGGAGAGGTAAAAGTTTTGGTCGAACAGAAGAACAGGCGAGCGGAAGGAAGTCGGTACTATCGATAAAGAGAAGGGTTTTTTACATAATGGGCATAATGAGGAACAGTCCAATATTAACATACATATAAATCAGCTGAACCTGTTGAGCTAAAGCTCTTTACTTCCCTCTTTCCTTCTCCTTCTCACAGCTTTACAATGATTACTGAGAGATTTAGCTTCGATAGATTTATTTACACTTTTATTAGGGTTAAATTTCTGTTTCGTCTAGCACAATAAATTCCTCGACGATGTTTTCGTATCTTTAGTGGTTTTTGTTTGTTTGTTTTTTTTTTTTAAGTTTTGTCTTAAAATCTCAGTAAGGCTAATGTTCTCACCTTGATCACGATTGGATAAAAGAGCAGTGCGCCAACGACAATGAGCATCAGAGACTTACAGCTCATGTCAATGAACTGCGTAACCGTTGTTCGCCTTTCGCTCCTTTTAAAAGTGTTTCAAATGTATGGAGGAAGGTCTCGATATTTAAATGTCCATATTTAAAAGGAGACAGGTTTCATTTACCGTGAAAGAAGATGAACGTGGGAGTGTAAGAACTTCAGTAAGATAGCTTATGAAGCAGCTGCACAGGTTGAGCAAAGACTGAGACCCTTTTTTTAATTTGAACCATTCCTAAGAAATCTAAAATTTCTGTAAAGGCCCTAACTTTATATTAATAAAATTCCTGGGGAAAAATAAATAAAACTGTCACTTTTTTTGCAAAAAGAAAGGTCTTTTATTCGTGGGGTGACTTGGTTGGTATGACTTTTTGTCTAAGTCCACGGGAAAAATGGTTTTTAGTTCTTGGCAGAAATAATAGTAATGACGTATTGGATAAACCTGAATGAAATCTTGGTGATAATATTGTCTGCCTTAGCCTGTCACGTTTCGAATGAGCTGATCCGTTACAAGTTGATATTGCCAACTATAGGACTTACCCTAAATCGAGGGGAGATAACACCTCTATTCACTTTAACAAGCATTTTTTTGTCAAATACCAACTTTACCATACCAATTTTGTAAAACCTCTTTTTTGTTTTTTGTTTTAATTTGTTTGTTTGTTTTTTTTTTAAGTTTGGGAGTGGTTTTGTCAGCAGCCACATTATCTTTTGGAATTTGCTTTCCATCCTGGAAGATTGTCTCAGAATTTCAATCAAGAAACTCTCTTGGATACTCTAAAATACTTTTCCACGAGATCTCACAGGACAATTCCTTGTGCCTTCATAACGATAATGAATAAATAATTTTTTTTCCTTCTTAAATCGTTATCAAAATTATAATTCGTATGAATAAAACACAGAGGAGAGAGACATTAAGTTCCGCATTAGAAACCGCAAAACCGTTGAAGAAATTATGCAAAACCGCGAAACCGCAAAAAAAAATGATCAAAACCGAAAACCGCTTGCAAAATCGTCAAAACCGTTTAATTAATCTTCACATTCCAGTTATCAAAACCCTAATGGTCTCGTGCAGTCAGTAACAAGTGAAGCGTACATAGGTTTCAACATTATTCGAGATCAGTGGAGGCGCATAATTTCCACCCAGACCGAGGAGAAACCGGAACCCAAAAAGGAAAATACTCAAACCACATCGCATATCAAATCCGCAAACCCGCAAATCCGCAAACCATTAGTATTTTTGAAAACGTGAAACCAAATGCTAAAAAAATCAGCAAACCACGAAGTACACCGAACCGAAAGACCAAAGGTTTCCGGAATAAAAAACGAAAAACCGATCTAAAATATAGCCAAAACCGAAAATCCCAATGCTCCCATCATAAAACATGATAACCGTTCACATCTCACCCTCTTTGAAAATAAATTTCAAAGGATGGTCTAGGTTGTCGAGTTTCATTTTACTTGGTAATTTTTTTTCTCACAATCCTCGAATTAATTCTGCCTTGTCATAGACAAGACTGGCGTTTATAAGTGACGGCGTGTATCATTTAAACAACTATAGTCTGGAACATTCTTAATTTTGTTTTCCACGCCGTTCAACATTGCGCTTTCTCGGCTGAAATTTTGCCGTGTAAGATAAAATTTTTTAGCATACCAAAGAAAGGATGCCTATTTACCTGCTTTCAAATAATTCATTTGCGAGTATAGTACTCATTGATCTTCATTTTCAGCTGTCATTTGAAAGAAGAACCTGAATACGTGATCGTGTGCCAAATATATCACGTCATAATTATAAAACGGAATCCCTTCGATAAATTTGAGCGACAGTGTTTTCTCCAACTTTTACGCTACCTAGGTAACAGAACAGCAAAACATCGTCGATTCTATCTCAAAAGTAAGCAGTTTATACTATCTATCATCTCCGTGGTATCTGTTATACGAGTTGAAGAAAGGGAAATGCAAACGAGGTAGATTAAAACAGCGAATAGTTGCGGGCGACACCCATTTCCGACCGCGATTACTTACAGGGGGTCAAAGCGCCAACATTTTTATGATTTCGCTAACCGCTGTGAATGGATAATACCCTAGTTACAAACCCAGAGTTGTCATAACAAAATTACTAAAGTTTTATGCAAAACTTATACATTGTCACTCCAAACTCTATCGCTGACGGTGAATTAGACGACATTACACGCTTGAAATATCCCCAATTCCTGCATTTATTTGTTCGTTTCCCCAAGATTACAACGTGATTCCATTGAACAAAAAGTAGTTATCACAGGAAAAAGTTCACACCACGTTCTCTCAGGTGAAAACTTGTAATTCATCGAGTGCTCATGGCACGAGAAATGGCCAAGAAACCAAGATACATATACGCAGAGCTTGCCACTTTTTTCTTGGTGCTGATGTGCTTGGGATCTCTAAATCTCTGCGAAGGTAACTTTACCTTTCCACTTTTTATTCTTATAACTATGCAGAGACGTAGGAGTTTCTTTATCAGGAGAAAATACGAAAATAATGTTTTTACTCTACCGAGACGCGCATAGTAGCTATGTTGTTAGACATCAAGGATCTGAAACCTAATTTTCCGCATGCATGCACTGAAGAAGGAAAGCGCTTTCACTTTTCATGGAAAGCCGACGTAATCTCAGGTGATATTTCGCACATATATCTTTACCACCAACGGTTAGAGACCTATATTTTTTTTCTCTCCCCCCACGCCTTTCCTTGAAGTGGTCTTGGATGCAGGCCAGCAGTACAAATTAAATTCACAAAACTGCGACCAGTCTCGCGATAGTTAATTCAACGTAATAACAGAATTGCTGATCACGGAGGGGCTGGTTTGAATAACTGATTAGTTTCCCAGACAAACAACTGATATTTCTCAATTTTAATTCCTAGAATTTGGAAGGCGGGGTAGATATATTTGGAAGCATGGTTATGTTTCCTCCTTAAGAAGTAAACGAGAATTGCAAAGCAACGTAGCATACAGCTTCATATCATCTAAAGAGTCTTTGTAGTTCTCTTGAGCTTCCCTATCGACTCCTAGCCAGAAACTGAAAGGGAGATGGTTGTTCAAGTGTGATTTCATTATAGAGAAATACAAGAAACATAATTTGCGATGGCTTGTACGACAAATTCAAGAAAGAATTAGTTTGCGATTTTGAACGGCGATTTTCTTGGCAATCTCATATGGATACCTCTAAGAGGAAAATATATATCTATATTTTTAAAAAAAAAACGGTTTGCATTGTCTATCCCGCAAAAACTTGTCAAAGACTATGCAAATATGGAAAGATGTTGACTGATTCCACTTTTCAATAATTGAAATAAACTCAGTTGTATCACATTGAATATTCGAGAAACGACTACTGCGAGTGGTACCAAACACTCATCAAAACTCGGCGGTTTGATGATCGTAGAATTTCTTATATTTGCTTAAAAATACGTCTGTGAAAGGAAAAATTTCTATATTTTCAGGTCAATAACGATTTCAAGCTGTTTGAAATGAGCATGCTATTCGAACTTTTTCTCAAAGGAACACAACATGATACCGAGGTTGCTCAGCGACACTTTGGTGCAACACGCATATAAATCCACGGGAGACAACATCTGCCATTCTGAAAATCTTAAAACTAAGCAACCCAAATAAAACCCTCTGAGAAAAAAAAATTTTGCCAAAGGCAAACTACGCTTCAGTGACTTCAAGCAATTTTTTTTATTTCAATTTCTTTAGGTGGTAAAATTCTTTGTTACCCGCAACCACGCGATGGAGTTTACCTCAAGGCAACTTTCACTTGTTATGATCAATATTGAAAATTCTGCTTGGTGGGATAGTAATCATTTACAGTCAGTTTTCAAGCAGACGGAAAAGACTTGACCTTATCGAGCTTTTCTAGTACTACTTTTTTAATAGTAAAACTGATACAAATTAATATTTGGTAATTTTATTTTCGCCAAAGCGAGGACGAATTGCAACAGATGGTTTTTCTAATATTATTAATAATTTATGATAGGCGAAAATTTCTGCAACTTATTCGCCTAAATAGAGATGCATTTCATCATTTCATTTCTACTCTCAACTTCCCGTCGTTCTAATAACTTCCTGCGTCCACTATTGCTCGTTCGCGTGACATTTTTTCCTAAAAAAACCCGAACTTATTAGAAAAGCAGGTAACAATTAGTTTTCTTAGTTACGCTTGAAAGTTTCTTCTATTACGTTTTTTTTTTGTCACCCTTGAGGCATCATTCACGTTTTGTCATCGAAAAATCTAAAATGCGGTCCAATTTCTGCAAAAACAGAAGGGAACACAGCAGACTGTAAAATGTAATAGCTACTTCAGAACAGTGATGAATAAAAAAATGACAACCAGAAAGACAGAAATAATTTTTAAATATTCAAGGGAAAGTTACGCAATACTTTGGCGACTTAATTAAGCCGTTATCGGAATAAAAAGGAGAAGAAAGATAAACATGTATTCAATTCATTGTATGTAAAAGGATTTCTAGAAAATTCATTAGCTTTTTTTCGCATTGTTCAAAAAATTGTATTCGTGCTGTTTATGTTATATCTCAAAATATACCTTCCACCGCTTGCCTTGTTAAGAAATACGAACACGTTTCTTATAAAATGGTGTAAAATAATTTGCATCCACTAGCAGCACTTTAATCCTTACCAAGGAGAAGTAAAAACTAACTATTAACAAAGAAACTATTGGTGAAACATGTGAAACAAAATAATCTCATGATAGGATCATTACATGAAATGATAAGCTGTTTCACAAATTGCGCTGTCAAGAATGCATCGTGCAGTTAGTGCAGTTCGGTTTGAGTCTTACGTTATGGTTCTTCCCTTTGAAATCTGTTTTATACGATTGGCCCTCTGTCATAACATTATTGAAAGTTTCAAAAGTAAATCAGTGTATCGGACGTGCCTGTGCGCGAATATCATATGATTATTCGTACTAACAGCGTTGTAATTTGGATTCTCATTTCATTATTGCACAATCTACAGCTCGGGAAAAAAACTCTTCGACAGTTTGTAAGGAGTTCTGATAAAGTTAAGGGCTGGGCTGTAAAATAAACTGACTGAAGCTCAGCTTTTAAGCTTGGCTAAATCTGTTTACTGACCTCTCACACTGTGGCCTTATTAAACAGAGGTGGACTGAATATTCTACTAATCATATTTATTGCACCTTCGTCCGTGTAAAATTCTCGTAAAATTAAGCACATTTGTTTGATTGCAAACGTTCAGGTTCGTGCTCTGACACGCCCGTGGGTGTTCGTGATGAATTAAAAGTGATACCTGATGATAACATGACTGCAAGCTCGGTGCTCCCTGGTTTTCCAGCCAAAGATGGTCGCCTGGCCGGAACTGGTGCCTGGTGTTCGCTAACAAATGGTAGTGACACTGATCCATATCTTGAAATAAGCCTGGGTAAAAGCTACGTAATATGCGGCATCGAAGTGCAAGGAAAGCCTAATGCTGCCGAGTCTACAAACTTTACGCTCCAGTCTTCAACAAACGGATCAAACTTTATTGAAGTTGACTCAGGGCAGGTAAATAATTGAACTTTAATTTTTATCAACTTGTTTCGCTGGCGGGTTTTTCAAATTGGTTTTATGTAAACGATTTGAAGATATCCATAATTTCTGTCGAGACTGGTCAGAATTTAATGTTTTAGACTGTCAATATCCACCTTAAGGTGGGCTCAAAATATTTTTCTTGAATTTGCGAAAATACTATTCCCACCGACCAGAGATCTTATAATTTGATCTTCAGATCATTTAATTATATACGCACAAAAGCCGTTTTTTTTTTCTAGCACCGAGGTCATAGCTGGACTTGATATTCAATAGTCAGCATTACTAATAAAGCTTTTAAACCAACTTATATCAAAGTAGTATCACAACACAGCATAGCATTGCTATCGTTGTCTTTATACGTTTTCTTTTTCATCGTAGCTTTTGTTTTCATTTTTTTTTTGTCTTTGAAACTCTGCACTTTCCTCATATGATATTTCAGAGTAGGAATTCCTTGGAATTTTTCGAAGTGGTAAACGCTACTTTCAACTAGAGAATTCCTAGTGAAAATACAAAGTTATTTTTCATAGACTTTTTCCCTTGGTGTTGTCGTCCTGATTACTAGGTCCCTTGCCGCTCTCATTACGATTATTACTGCCTCGAAGCTAAAGTCGATACCTTTTGCCTTTGACTTCCTTGTGTTAGCAGCCTACAGACTTGAATTCTTTTAGGTCCCTATATTGGGTGTCTATTAACAACCGATTGTTATTAATGAGTATTTAGAACTAAAACACGACATGTGAAATGGTTTCGAATTTTTTTAAAAACTGAGAAGAGAATCAATAGCTTGAATTTCCCTTAATCCTGTTTCTTTTCATGGATTTTGAAGTATTAACGTTTTCGGTACGTTTCCAGACCTTTCATGCCTCTTCAGCTGGTGGCGATGTCGCTACATTCCATGTCCTGGCAACAAACGTAACTGCAACACATCTGCGGTTTAAGCCAGTTTCCAACGTTACATGCCTGAGAGTGGAGATTTACGCTGTTCCAGGTATGTTCTATAGCGATATGATTTTTGTGGAGATTTACGCTGTTCCAGGTATGTTCTATAGCGATATGATTTTTGTCATAATGATAAGTTGTGTATCACATGACGATTGCAGTACGAAATAGTCTTTATAATGTTAGTGGAGACTAGCGAAACATAAGCTTAACACAAGTGTTATTACCGGGGGAAACGGTAACGCAAAAATCAACATGAGTGCCCGATAGGGAAAACTATATCCTGCGTAGATGGTTGTTAAGGAGCAGTTTTCGTTAAACCAGATTTGGGAGAGAGGGTTTACGAAATATCTTATTCCACGCTACTCACTGAGGAAACAGCATGATACGTCCTATTTATTTATTTATGACCCGGTTTTGCTGTTCAGTCAAGAAAACGCGGACGCCATTCTTATTGCTTCGATGCTTTTAGGTTTTGTGGCTCAACGTTTCGACTGTGTCATTAAACTAACTCCAAAATACACACAACGACCAATCGGAAGAGCTAAAAGTGCCATAAGGAGCCGATGAGAAATTGGAAACGTAATGACACGGAGACAGCCTGAAGGGCGGAAAAATACCAGTTATCAAGTTACAATTGATTGTATTTTTGTCTCTGCTTGATCGAAAAGATGCACGTGGTGTGCGTTTTTAAGACTGATCGCAGAGCAAACTATGACAAAGTCGACTCAATCCCAGATTGATCTTGACACTCAACAAATCTTTGAAACCAACTATAGCTAAGGTGGCGCAGGGGAGAGGAGAGGGGGGGGCTGATGAGGAAGGCGGTCTCATCAGGTGGAGTCACTAGTTTTCGAGTTTAATATTTGGGAATCGTGAATTACGAGATATCGTTTATAATGACTCATGAATATTGAAATAAAATTGGGCAGGAATCACTGCTCTGCAGGATCAGATGATTCTTCGATGATGACGTTCATTCTGATCGTTTTTTTTATTTTCATTCCTTTAATCTCAGAGAATGTTACCATCAATTGCCAGGCGTCCAACATCTTGATAGAAATTCAAAAATCATTATTTATTGATACTGAATTCGCCGCGACTGACCTGGCTCTCAATGACAGAGACTGTAATGCTGCCAATGGTTCAAACACTTTCGACTTTGACATTATCCATGGGACATGTCAAACTGCGCTCAATTACTCAAAGGATGGCGAAAGAGTATTTTACCACAACGTTGTCTTCGATACTAAAGCAGATCCGGACGATCCCGAATTTAACATAATTTGCACTTATTCAAGTAAGTATGTTAAACTCGTCTTTAGAGCTCATGGAGTGGGCTATCATAAACCGGTACCTCGTCAGGCTTTTAAAAGGCCTATGGGCGAACATTACCAAGTGTTCCTTGATAGGTCCCTTAAAGATAGTTAGGGGGTTCGTATTTTGGAAGATCGATAGGTTTAGGAATGAAAAATGAAGAGATATCATGACAAATAAGTGGACTCGCGGATGTAAAAAATTATGGATCTACTAACAAGTTTGGCTCAAACTTTTGTCATTTGGAGAACGTTAAAGAATATATCCTTACCTCTAGACTTTGAGGCAGTATAGCTTAGTACTTCAACTTGTTTTCTGTGATGCTTCTTCCTCAAAAAAAAAGTAAATTAAAAAAAATGTATATAAAAAGTCTACCTTGGCATGTATGTATATATGTATATAAATGTCAGACAGGGGTGCTAGTTTTCTGGTCAGAGTTTTGTTCAGAAACATGGCGCGGCCATGAGACCGAAAACACCTGCAGTTATGCAGATCTGGCGATGGGCGTCATCGATGAGAAAGCCAAATTTGGAGGTAGCCTGAAACCTATGCTTTGGTGGAGATACAGGGATGATATTTTTGACATTTGGACTCAGGGTTTACCGAAATTATTGGAATTTACTGATTATATTAACGGTTTGTATCCAACTATCAAATTTGAATTGGTTTACTCTGACAGTCATTTGAATGTCCTTGATCTCACGTTGCATTTTCGTGACGGGTTTATTAGCACTGATGTTTATGCTAAACCCACTGATAGTTACCTCTACCTACCTTTTTCGAGTTCACACCCCGCACGTTGCAAAAGAGTAGTCCTCTTCGGTGTAGCTTTAAGAATCAAACGCAATTGTTCTACTGACGACTTTTTACAAAATAGATGTAAGGAATACAAAGGGTATTTGAAATCACAAAATTATCCAGCGGAGCTTGTTGATAAACAGTTCGACAAAGCTCTTAGTATACCAAGGGCTCAACGTTTGAGGAAAAAGGTCAAGCCAGCAAAGAAAGTTTTTCCATTGATGCTCGACTAAAATCCAATTTTGCCAGATATCCAAAAAGCACTTTTATCTATTACAATCCTCACCTTAAGTCAAAGAAATTTTTCCATCGAAGTCGATACTTCCCGCTTATCGTAGAACCAAAAATCTTAAGGAGATGTTGGCGCCACCAAAATTTCGGGTAACCTCCAGTGGAAATCAGGGTGAAGAAAACACAGGTTATTCAAAATGCTGTTTAATTCAAGCTTCCAAATTTCAAAGTTCGGCAACCGGTCGTCAATATTCCATTCAACAGGGGCTGTCTTGTTCGTCACAGAATGTTATTTATTTGGCCACTTGTGCCAATGCAACCTGCAATATGTAGGCTCCACCTCGACTGAATTTAAAGTAAGATTTCGTAACCACAAGTCGAACATGCTTAAGAACAAAAGAACTTGTGAGTTGGCCATCCATTTTAATGACTCTGAACATGAAATTTCTCAAATCAGTTTCATTATTATTGAACAAATTAGGTCTTTTGAAAATTCCTTATATCTTGAACGATTATTACTCATTAGAGAAGCCTATTGGGCCGCGCAATTATTCACCCTTAATCCTCATGGTCTCAACAAACGGCGAGAATTTAGATCAAAACACCGCATTAATTACTACAATTGAGTAGCTGTGATTTGCCATTTTTCCAACATGACGTACTTTATTTTAATTTTACTCCATTATCATTTTTGATATTTGTTTATTTCTGAGTTCAAGGGCTATTCACATGTCACCCATAGTTCTTTATTTGCCTTTCATTGTTTAACCCTTCTCAGTTTGTAATTTAAAGAATTATTACGTAACCTCAATCTTAAAATTTCTGTTTTGACAAGTCGCAATCATTTTAAAAGTTTTAATTTTTAACCTGAAGAAGGCTGAACGGCCGAAACGTCGCGCATTAAACTCGTCAAGAACAGGCAGTTCTTGTTACGTCCATATTACTATATATATATATATATATATTACTAAAGTTGGATCCACAAACGAAAAAGGAACGATTTGCATGCCTTCGTCTATATAACAGTTCTTCAGGGGTTATATATATATATGGTGAATTTCGATATATCACTGTGAAATCGGCTAAATACAGGAAAATTAGGGCGTTATCAAACAAGAACGTCAGATAATATGATTAAATTCAAAGGAATTAGAATACATACCCTGAGCATTCCATATCTCATACGCTCATTACTGCTTCAGATAATATGATTATATTCAAAGGAATTAGAATACATACCCTGAGCATTCCATATCTCATACGCTCATTACTGCTTCATAGGAGCCTAGAATTATGGCCTACCTCAAAAAAATTGAAACAAAAACCGTAAAAACTTTACTTCAACACTTACAGTTGCTTAATCGTTGCTTCTTTTTTGCAGATTATTGCAAATTTGGTCCTTGTCAGAACGGCGGAACCTGTTTGCCGGATGGAGATAGCTATATCTGTGTCTGTGCTGCTGGCTACGGCGGTATTAACTGCACAACAAGTAAGATGGTTTCTCCATTCTCTCATTGCAGCTAATTGAAGTGTAAAGGCAACAATAATATTTTACACAAATCTCTTGAATTCGATCCTCGTGTAGGTGCATTTCGGGAGTACACGTAACGGAGCTAAAGCGAGTCTAAGATATAACGCATCGACCAATTCGAGGTTTCAACATCCCCCTCCCCCGGGCAACCCACAGGTATTTTACTGTCGTCGTGCCCGTGAGATGGGAAATTGGAACCTTCCGTGGCTGGGGTGGTGAACTTGAACCGGATATGTCAAGTCTTTCCTGTGGAATTTACGTGTTTTATCTTCAAAATGTGGAGGGTTGAGGACTTCATTTTCGCGAGCGAATGGCTCAGAAGTAAAGGTCTACAAGGTCGAGAGTTTAAAAGCTTGGTAAATGAGTAGAAAGTCACGATCGCTGAGTTTTCCTTTTTCAAAAAATGAACTGGGTGGGAAATTTGAACATAATTTTGACCCCGAGGGCGGGAATTTGAAGGAACTAATTTTCAAGAGTTTTATTTCCCGAGGGTAGGGAAGTCGAAGTTTCCATTGATCGACGCATAAGCACGAAATTTGTCTCGATACTTGCTCAAGCCCACACTGATTGAATTTCGCTTGCTATGATCAGTATTGAAAAATTTGCTCATTATTTATGGTCAGTTCTTAAGCAGACGAAAAAGACTTGATCTTACCGAGTTTTTAAAATACTGCGTTTTAATAGTAAAATTGATAAAAATTATTTGATCATTTTCTTTTCGCGAAAGCAAGGACGAATTGCAACAGATGGTTTTTCTGATATTATTAATAATTTATCTTGGGCGAAAACTTCTGTATTTTAGTTACACAAACTTGGCAACTTATTCGCCTACATAGAGACGGATTTCATCATTTCATTTCTGCTCTCAACTTCCCGTCGTTCTAATAACTTCCTGCGTCCACTATTGCTCGTTCGCGTGACATTTTTTTTACAAAAAAACCCGAAAAACTTATTAGAAAAGCAGGTAACAATTAGTTTTCTTAGCTACGCTCGAAAGTTTCTCCTGCTTTTGTTTTTTTCTCACCCTTAAAGCATCATTCACGTTTTGCCATCGAAAAATCATTGAATACGGCCCAATTTCTGCAAAAACAGAAGGGAACACAGCAGACTGTGGAGTGTAATAGCTACTTCAGAACAGTGATGAATAAAAAAAATGACAACCAGAAAGGCAGAAATAATTTTTAAATATTCAAGGGAAGGTTACGCAATACTTTGGCAACTTAATTAAGCCATTATCGGAATAAAAAGGAGAAGAAAGATAAACATGTATTCAATTCATTGTATTTGAAAGGAGTTTTAGAAAATTCATAAGCGTCTTTTTGCATTGTTCAAAAAATTGTATTCGTGCTGTTTATGTTATATCGCAAAATATACCTGCCACCACTTGCCTCGTTAAGAAATCCGAACACGTTTCTTATAAAATGGTTTGACATAAATTGTATCCAGTAACATCATTTTAATACTTACCAGAGAGAAATAAAAATTAACTATTAACAAAGAACCTATTGGTGAAAAATGTGAAACAAAATAGTCTCATGATAGGATTGTTACGTGAAATGATAAGCTGTTTCACAAATCGCGCTGTTAAGAATGCATCGTGCAGTTAGTGCAGTTCGTCTTGATTCGTAGGTTATGGTTATCCCCTTTGAAATCTGTTTTATACGATTGACCCTCTGCCATAACATTATTGAAACTTTCAAAAGTAAACCGGTGTATTGGACGCTCCTGGGCACCAACATCATATGATTATTCGTACTAAAAGCATTATAATTTGGGTTCTCATTTCATTATTTCACAAACTGCAGCTCGGGGAAAAAAACTCTTCGACACTTAGTAAGGAGTTTTGATAAAGTTAAGGGCTGAGCTGTAAAATAAACTGACCGAAGCTCAGCTTTTAAGCTTGGCTAAATCTGTTTACTGACCTCATATACTATGGCCTCATCAGACAGAGGTGGAATATTCTACTAATTTTGTGCGCTTATGTTTTGCACCTTTGTCCGTGTAAAATTCTCGAAAAATTAAGCACATTTGTTTGATTGCAAACGTTCAGGTTCGTGTTTTGACACTCCCGTTGGTGTTCGTGATGAACTAAAAGTGATACCTGATGATTACATGACTGCAAGCTCGGTGCTCCCTGGTTTTCTAGCCAAAGATGGTCGCCTGGCTGGAACTAGTGCCTGGTGTCCACAAACAAATGGTAGTGACACTGATCCATATCTTGAAATAAGCCTGGGTAAAAGCTACATAATATGCGGCATCGAAGTGCAAGGAAAGCCTAATGCTTCCGAGTCTACAAACTTTACGCTCCAGTCTTCAACAAACGGATCAAACTTTATTGAAGTTGACTCAGGGCAGGTAAATAATTGACCTTTAATTTTTATCAACTTGTTTCGCTGGCGGGTTTATCAGATTGGTTTTATGTAAACTATTTAAAGATATCCATGGTTTCTGTCGAGAGTGGTTTGAATTTGATGCTTTAGACTATCAATTTCCACCTTAAGGTGGGCTCAAAATATTTTTCTTGAATCAGCGAAAATATTATTCCTACCGACCAGGGATATTATAATTTGATCCTCAAATCATTTAATTATATACGCGCAAAACCCATTTTTTGCCTAGCACCGAGGTCATAGCTGGACATAATATTCAATAGCCAGCATCACTAAACAGGTTTTTAAACCAACTTATATCAAAAGTAGTATCACAACACAGCACAGCATTGTTATCGTTGTCTTTATACGTTTTCTTTTTCATCGTAGCTTTTGTTTTCATTAATTTTTCTCTTTAAAACTTTGTACTTTCCACAAATGATATTTCGAAGTGGGGAATTTTTCGGAATTTTTCGAAGTGGTAAACGCTACTTGCAAATAGCGCATTCCTAGTGAAAATGCAAAGTTATGTTTTTTATAGACTTTTTCCCTAGGTGTTGTCGTCCTGATTACTAGGTCCCTTGCCGCTGTCAATTACGACTTTCACTGCCTCTAAGCTGAAGTCTATACCTTCTACCTTTGACTTCCTTGTATTAGCAGCCTATAGACTTGAATTCTTCTGGGTCCTTCTCCTAGGTTTCTATACAACAGATTATTATCGATGAATATTCGGTACAAAAACACGACATGTGACATGGTGTCGACTTTTTTTAAGACTTATTATAGAATCAATAAATTGAATTTCCCTTAATCCTGATTATTTTTATTGATTTTGAAGTATTAACACTTTCGGTACCTCTCCAGACCTTTAATGCCTCTTCGGCTGGTGGTGATGTCGCTACATTCCATGCCCTGACAGCAAACGTAACTGCAACACATCTGCGGTTTAAGCCAGTTTCCAACTTTATATGTCTGAGAGTGGAGATTTACGCTGTTCCAGGTATATTCTATAGCGATATGATTTTTATCATAATGATAGGTTGTGTATCACATGACGATTGGAGTACGAAATAGTCTTTATAATGCTCTCGCTAATGTAGATAAGGGAAACACAAGCTTGACACAAGAGTTATTACCGGAGGTAACGGTAGCGCAAAAATGAACACGAGTGCCCAATGGGGAAACTATATCCTGCGTAGACGGTTGTTAAGAAGCAGTTTTTGTCAAACCAGGTTTGAGAGAGAGGGTTTACGAAATATCTTATTTCACGCCACTCACGGAGGAAACAGCAAGATACGTCCTCTCCGGGTTTACATAACCCGGTTTTGTTGTTCAGTCAAGAAAACGCGAACGCCATACTTATTGCTTCGATGCTTTTAGGTTTTGTGGCTTAACGCTTCAACTCAGTGTCATTAAAGTAACTCCAAAGCACACACAAAAACCAATCAGAAGAGCTCAAAGTGCCATTAGGAGCTCATGAGAATTTGGAAACGTAATGACTTGGAGACAGCTTGAAAGATGGAAAAATGCCAGTGATCAAGTCACAATTGATAGTATTTTTGTCTCTGATTGAGCGAAAAGATGCATGTGATGCGCGTTTTTTAAGACTGATCGCACAGCATAATGTAACAAAATCGACACAATCCCAGAATTAATCTCGACACTCGATTGGAAACAAATCTTTGAAACCAACTATAGCTAGGTGGCGCTAGGGAGGAGAGGGGGAGGGGGGTTGACGCGGTCCCATCAGATGGAGTCACTAGTTTTCGAGTTTAATACTTGAGAATCATGAATTACGAGATATCGTTTATAATGAATCATGAATATCGAGATGAAATTGGGCAGAAATCACTGCTCTGCAGATCAGATGATTCTACGATGATGACGTTCATGCTGATAGTTTTTTCTTTTTAATTCCTTTTATCTTAGAGTATGTTACCTTCATTTGCCAGGCGTCCTACATCTCGGTAGTAATTCCAAAATCATTATTTCCTGACCCTCCTCCCACCGCGACTGACCTGGCTCTCAATGACAGGAACTGTAAAGCTATTGGTTTTTCAAATACTTTCTACTTTGACATTACCCATGGGACATGTGGAACTGCACTCAATATCTCAAAAGATGGAGAAATATTTTACCACAACGTTGTCTTCGATACTAGAGCAGATCCGGATGACTCCAAATTTGACATAATTTGCCCTTATTTGAGTAAGTACGCTATCATAAAACGGTAGCTCTTGGGCTTTTAAAAAGCCGACGAGCGAACATTTCCAAGTCTTCCTTGATAGGTCCTGTAAAGATAGTTAAGGGGTTCGTATTTTGGAAGATCGGTAGATCTAGCCATAAAAAGATGAAGGGAATCATGAAAAATAAGTGGACTCGCGGATGTAAAAAATTACGGATCGACTGACAAGTTTAGCTCAAACTTTCGTCACTTATAGAAAGATGAAGAATCTACCCTTACCTCTAGACCTTGATGCAATATAGCTTAGTACTTCAGCTTGTTTTCTGTGATGCTTCTTCCTCAAAAAAAAAGGAAATTAAATTATAAAAATGTAAAGTATGTAGATATATATTGCGATAGGTGATAGTCTCTCTGTATACTCTCTATAGTCCCTCCCGCAATATATATATATATATATATATACATGAAGGTTGAACTAATTAATAAGACATAACTTTTCTGTGACTGAGTTTCACGCTCACGCGATCATTAGACAAATTTAAAATATATATATATATATATATATATATGACATGTAAAGGCAGGAAACCTAAAGACAGGAAACTTAAATACAGAAAAATCAGGATACTGTACAACTGTAGACAATTAAAACAAAACATACTCATATACTACTGCACTGAGTCAATTTATGTCACAGGAGGTTTGGAAGTGACATGAATCCGAGTAATGTAGGTTAGGTGAATCCACAAACAAAAAAGGGACGATTTGCATGTCTCGCCCCACTACAGCCTTCTCGATGGGGAATTTTGACTATCATTGTGATTGGCATACAAATCTGCGTTATCAGACAAGAATTTCAAACTATGTGATTAAATTCAAAGGAATCAGAATACATACCCTGAGCATTCCGTCATCTCATACGTTCATTACTGCTTCACAGGAGCCTAGAATTATCTCAACAAATTGAAACAAAAAAACCGTATAAACTTTTTTTAGCACCTACGGTTGCTTAATCGTTGCTTCTTTTTTACAGATTACTGTAAATTTGGTCCTTGTCAAAACGGCGGAACCTGTTTATCGGATGGAGATAGCTATATCTGTGCCTGTGCCGCTGGTTACAGCGATATAAACTGCACAACAAGTAAGATGGTTTCTCTATAGAATTGTAGCTAATTAAGGTGTAAAGGCAACAATAATATTTGGAAACTTAAAATCCGGATATGGCATCACACCTGAACGTAGTTTTGAGATTTTTAGTTATATCCTTGAATTAAGGGACTTAAAAGCAAAGAAACCAAATTTAAAGGATACAAAAGAAAACAAAATTAAACAAGCCATTTTCAAGGATTTCTGCTCATCACTCAAACCAAACAAGTGTTCTGCTAGAAAAGCGCTCGCAGTCTCACGCGAAAAGAAAAGAAATCTGCCGAAAAGCTCCTGCTTTGCCTTTTTAAGACAAAAACAACATATTTTTTCAACACCATTCCCCCGTACTAATCCTGGGCGACTTGACTCATGAGGCAGTGAAATTTAAGGCCACTTCATAAAAGTGATGATTAAACAGAAAGACAACCAGAAAGACTTAGAAATAATTTTAAAAAAGAAAACCCAACCTTTCAGGATGCTTCCTTACAATTTTTTTCTCTTTTGCACCAACGGTGAGCCTAAAATGCATTTATAAAATAATTCAAATAGTACGCTCGCTCTGATTGGCCATAAAACCATTTTGCATGAGCGTATGTAAACACGGTTTTCGTTCCCCTTTCATTAGTTATTTTATAAAAGAAATGTAAAATGGTTTCCGTGTTTAAATAGCCTGATGTAAACACTCGATAAGCTGGAAACCACTCCGCTTCGCGTCGTGGTTTCCTACTCTTATCTCGTGTTCTCCCAACCTCCCGCGTGTTTACATCAGGCTATGTAAACACAGTAACCATTTTACTTTTCTTCAATATGAGGCGCTCTCACTGAGGGCATAGACATGAATTGAGTGTTGTTTGAAATAAACATCACCTCGTTGGAATGCGCACGCAGTTGCCAATTGAGTTTACCCTAAGATCTATTTTGCTTTGAGAGACTGTTTGTGGAGAATATTTTTTAAAATTCTTTCGATGGCTCTAAATTAGCTTTACGCCTAATCTATATGAAAAACGAAACAATGAATTCATCACTGAACTTCAGTTGTAACGAAAACGAAGACCCCTTAAAGTTAAGACCCAAGGCCTAAAAAAAACATATTTCATTTATATTTCGGCGGCAATGAGAGGGGTAAGGAAGTACACGAGCACAACGCATGTCGTTTTTTTAGCTTGAGAATAGTAACAAGTTCGTACTGTTTCTTCTTAAATAGGTCAGTGCCTTTATGAGTTTAAGTTTTTTTGAGTGTCGTGTTTCGCTTCCCAATTTAGTAACAAATAACTAGCACAGACGTTTTCAAACAAGGGAGTACATGTAAAGAGGCGAAAGCGAGTCTAAGAACTGAATAACACATCGATCAATTCGAAGCTTCAACCTCCCCCTTCCCCGAGTAACCCACGGGTATTTTATTGTCATCCGTGCCCGAGGAATGCGAAATTTTAACCCTTCGTGGATGGGGTAGGGAATTTGAACCGGAAATGTCAAGTCTTCCGGGTAGAATTTACGTGTTTTATCTTAAAATATGGAAGGTTAAAGACCTCATTTTCGCGAGCAAATGACTCAGAAATAAAGGTCTACAAGGTCTAGAGTTTTAAAGCCTGGTAAATGAGTGGAAAGTCACGGTCTCCAGTTTTCCTTTTTCAAAAAATGAACTTGAGTTGGGCATTTGAACATAATTTTGGCCCCGGGAGGGAGGGGGGGGGGTTTAAAGGAAATAATCAAGAGTTCAATCTCCCTAAGGGAGGGAAGTTGAATCTTCGGATTGATCGACGCAGAGTATGAAATTTGCTTCAGTACCTACTCAAGTCCACACTGATTGAATTTCGCTTCTCAAAGAAGCACCAACGACGTCTAAGCCCTATAAATAAGGCTTTGTGTCTCGAGTACATCGTAAAAGGGAAATGCACTCGCTCGAGGCGATGGTATGTCCGAAACCATCCTCAGCAAACCTCGAGAAACCACACTTGACTGACAATATGCCTAGTGCATTCTCCTCACGCAAAGAACTGGAAAATAAGCTTAAGTTAAAAAGGGAAATTAATCACTGAAATAATAAATTTGGCTTTCTGTTAGAAACGAGAACTTTTCCAATTTTGAAGCTCATTGATACCACAGTGTTCGATACAAAATTAAACAAATTTCAATTTGCGTACTTGTTGTTGACAAAATTGTAAAAGAATTATGAAGGAAAGTAAAATAATTGAAAAAAAAAACTTATCCAAACAGGATCCTCAAATAAGGCGATCGATCTGAGCGCCAATTAAGCGCCTCCACTAATCTCGAACAGTCGCGAAACGCAAATGTTATTGAGAGGAATGCGTGACAAACCAAATGTCGCTAAAATAACTTCTTTTCGGTTAAATATCGTATGGGATCTGTAGGAGGTCATGCGTTTCGAATAGAGCCCGAGACTTTGACCTTGCAATGTGGAGTACTTAGGTCGATCAGTTTGCGAACTATGGCTTCCAACGTGCCTTACGCGCCGGCAACGGAAGAAGCTTAAGGACCTTAAGAAGCAACTGGATTTTGGTCGCGTTTTTCTTAACTGACTAATGAAATGATACGTACCTGTCACTTGCCTTCGTCCATGGTGGCAGTTACACAACACTCCTCGACACAGCCGTGAAAGTGACTAAATGGGGCTTTTTGGGCAAAAAAAAAACTTCTAGTGGGGCCTGCGCTCCACTATGTCACGCAGACTTTATTTTGGTTTGTCGCGCAAAATTTCTAATTTTATTTAACACGATCCGATCCATGATCAGTGATCCGATCCGTGACCCGATCTTTGATCCGATCCGTGATGGGATCCGTGATCCGTTCCGAGATCCGATCCGTGACCCGATTCGGTCCGATCCGGTCCGATCCAGATTTTGTCGAAGCCGCAAACTCAAGGTTATTTTAGGTCATCAGGTAGTTTTAGGTCATTCCTTGTGTTAGTAACTATCGGTTTTTCTCATGCTGCAATACTGAGGAAATGGTAAAATACTCCTGTTGGAGTATTCTCCTACTCCTATCAGAATTGATAAGAACCTTCGTCTTACAAAATCCTTCGTTCTCGAAACGGTAGGCGAAATAAACTCTAAGCGTAATTGTGCGTGGCTTGTTGACATTCAATTAGTTACCAAAAACCATCCCATGACAACAATTTTGCTTGAAATCATCTCGTTTATTAAAAGATAGTCAATAGTTTAGGAAGCTTTCTGAAAGATAAATGTCCATTATCTGTTTTCTTCTGATCGATGAATTGATCTAAGAGCCTATAGGACTAGGTCTCAAACATAGCCAGGTCACTACGGGTTCATAATTTTTTTCCTTGACCGTTTCATTTCCCACATTTTTTCATCTACGAAATCTGTTCATCTATGAACAAATGTTGTACATAATAAATGGTAACTCCTGAATCGAGGTAACACTGGAGATATTCAGTTACTAAGTTGGGGTAAATCAGTTTTCACTGTTCAAGACGGCCTTAAGCGACCTTGGAACATTGGGATCTTATGTTGTTAAAACCAGAGATTTGCCATATTTTTATTTAAATAAATGTTAAGAAGAAGGAAGAATGTTTCATGGATATCACGAGATTTTGAGAAATCTTTACGATAGGACTTGAATAGTATTCAAAAGATCACCTTCGATCCGCCATATTGGCGGGCAAGCATGGGCAGACTAAGTGTGCTTTCCGGTTTTTTGCCAAGCCAAATATATTTCATCCATTTTGTGATTAAAACCCTAAAGCAAGACTACATGCCAAATTTCAGAAGTGAAGTGGCCGACGAATTTTCGAAAGTTACAGACTATCGCATTTAATTAAGCCATTATCGGCACGAAAAAAGGGGAAAATATTTACATTTATTTAATTCATTGTATGTAAAAACAGTTCTAGAAAATTCATTAGGATTTTTTGCATTGTTGTGAAATTATATTCCCACTGTTTGTGTTATAAAGATAGCCAAATAATTCACCTTGATCAATGGTAGAGCATCCCACCGCAACATTACTAGAGTTTCGACTCTTGAGGTGGATTCACATTTTTCTTCTTTGTACCATGCTCGTGGAAATTTTTTGATTCCATCACCTAGTAATACAATTCGTATCACCTTCCTCGATTTCTGAAATACAAGACCATTTTGACGATACGCTATCCAGAGCTATGCAGGACGCGTTTCCACACGAAACTCGAGTTAAGGCCTGGTTCAACAAATCTTATAACGAAAAGTCTATCTATTTCGGCGATACAGTACGTTACTAAATCATTACGTATTTTTACAGGTGTAGATTGTAGTTGAAACAAAGAGAACATCTAAATATTACTCATCAACATCTCCCTCCGTATTAAACCTAAAAGAGTTGTAAGAACAATGACAAAATACCTTTCTCAAAGTAGAACAAGTCTCTGACTTTAACTATGTCGCAAAAGTCGCCCTTAAAAAACGGTCTAAAAATAACGTTATAAGAAATTTTACTCGACTCGAAAACGATACCAAGATACCAAATTACATTTACCTCATGACCTAGACTTAATTATTTCTCGAAGTTGGAATGTCTTTTCTCTTTTCCAGATATCGACTACTATTGCATATGAATGGCTTCTCCTAAAGAACACATTCGGTGACTCTAAAATGAAGTTGGAAGCTCATTTCTTTTCGTACACGAAGCCTGTATTTTGGATATATACACCAGAGTTCGAATACAAATTGCAATTTTTCTACCATTTATTTCTCTTTTTCAGATATCGACGACTGTGAACCTCTTCCTTGCGAAAACAATGCAACGTGTAACGACGGAGTAAATAACTATACTTGTACCTGTATGGCTGGCTACGAGGGCTACAACTGTTCCATCGGTAAGTTAGATCATTTTCCTTCCTATTCCACATATTAGTAGAGAAGAAAGTTAATTTTCCTGGATTTAATTCCCTTATTTTGCCTTTAACTAGATACATAATGATCTATAAAGATGTAAGAATGTGTTCAGTTTCTTCCTGAAAACGAGTTCTACATTTTGCATGAGAAACCTCGATTTCGAGGAACAAATTTGCCATGCTCAACATTCATATTTATTCTCAGATATCAATAATTGTGACTATACTTGTACCTGAATGGCTTTTCTTAAAGGAGAACGCAGTGATTCTAAAACGAAGTCAAAAGCTCTTTTCTTTTCTTACAGGAAGCCTGAATTTTGGATACATAAACTAGGGCTCAAGTGCAAATTGCAAATTTTCCACCATTTATTTCTTTTTCTCAGATATCGACGACTGTGACCCTCTTCCTTGCGAAAACGGTGCAACTTGTCACGACGGAGTAAATAACTACACTTGTACCTGTATGGCTGGCTACGAAGGCTACAACTGTTCCATAGGTAAGTTTGATCATTTTCCCTCCTATTCCACCTGTTAAGAGAGAAGAAAGTTATATCCTCAATTTAATTCTTTATCTTGCCCTTAACTAGACATCCAATGATCTGTAGCGATGTAAGCATGTGTTCACTTTCTTTCCGAAAACGAGACATATATTCTGCAAGAATAACCTCGATTTCGAATGAAAATTTTGTCATGTTCAACATTTACCTTTATTTTCGGATATCAATAATATCCATCCTTCGGTTTCGCTTAAAGAAGAAACTCAGTAACTGTAACACGAAGTTGGAAGCTCTTTTCTTTCCGTACACGAAGCTTAGATTTTGGATATAACCACAAGAGTTCGAGTGCAAATTGCAAATTTTTCTATTGTACCTGAATGGCTTCCCTTAAAGAAGAAATACAGTGATTCTCTGACGAAGTTAGAGGCTCATTTTGTATCTTAAACGAAGCCTGTATTTTGGATATATACACTGTTCGAGTGCAAATTGCAAATTTTCTACCGTTTATTTCTCTTTCTCAGATACCGACGACTGTGACCCTCTTCCTTGCGAAAACGGTGCAACTTGTAACGACGGAGTAAATAACTACACTTGTACCTGTATGGCTGGCTACGAGGGCTACAACTGTTCCAAAGGTAAGTGAGATCATTTTTCCCTCCTATTCCACCTATAAGTAGAGAAGAAAGTTATATTGTCCTGACTTTAATTCCCTTATTATGCCTTTAACTAGATACACAATGATCTATAACGATGTAAGAGTGTGTTCAGTTTCTTCCTGAAAACGAGTTCTACATTTTGCATGAGAAACCTCGATTTCGAGGAACAAATTTGCCATGCTCAACATTCATATTTATTCTCAGATATCAATAATTGTGACTATGCTTGTACCTGAATGACTTCTCTTAAAGAAGAAATACAGTGATTCCAAAACGAAGTTAAAAGCTCTTTTCTTTTCTTACAGGAAGCCTGGACTTTGTATACATAAACTAATGCTCGAGTGCAAATTGCAAAATTTCCACCATTTATTTCTCTTTCTCAGATATCGACGACTGTGACCCTCTTCCTTGCGAAAACGGTGCAACTTGTCACGACGGAGTCAATAACTACACTTGTACCTGTATGGCTGGCTACGGAGGCTACAACTGTTCCATGGGTAAGCTAGATCATTTTCCCTCCTGTTCCACCTATGAGAAGAGAATAAAGTGATATTTTCCTGAATTTAATTATTTTTCTTGCCTTTAATTAGAAATCCTATGATCGACAACGATGTCAGAATGTGTTCTGAGTCTTCCCGAAAAGGAAACCTACATTTTGCATTAATAACCACGATTTCGAGTAAAAATTTGGCCCTGCTCAACATTTATCTTTATTTTCAGAAATCAATACTTTGTGACTATTATTGTACCTGAATAGCTTCTCTTAAAGAAGAAATTACGTGATTCTAAAACGAAGCTATGAGCTCATTTCTGTCCGTTCACATAGACCGTATTTTGGATATATACACTAGAGTTCGAATACAAATTGCAATTTTTCCACCGTTTATTTCTCTTTTTCAGATATCGACGACTGTGACCCTCTTCCTTGCGAAAACGGTGCAACTTGTCACGACGGAGTAAATAACTACACTTGTACCTGTATGGCTGGTTACGAGGGCTACAACTGTTCAATGGGTAAGTTAGATCACTTTCCCTCCTATTCCACCTGTTAGAAGAGAAGAAAGATATATTCTCCTGAATTTAATTCTTTATCTCGCCTTTAACTAGACATCCAATGATCTATAGCGATGTAAGCATGTGTTCACTTTCTTTCCGAAAACGAGACCTACATTTTGCATGAATAACTTCGATTTCGAATGAAAATTTTGTCATGTTCAACATTTACCTTTATTTTCGGATATCAATAATATCCATCCTTCGGTTTTGCTTAAAGAAGAAACTCAGTAACTGAAACACGAAGTTGGAAGCTCTTTTCTTTCCGTACACGAAGCTCAGATTTTGGATATAACCACAAGAGTTCGAGTGCAAATTGCAAATTTTTCTATTAATTATTTCTGTTTTTAAGATATCGATGACTGTCACCCTCTTCCTTGCGAAAACGGTGCAACTTGTCACGACGGAGTAAATAACTATACTTGTACCTGTATGGCTGGTTACGAGGGCTACAACTGCTCCATGGGTAACTTAGATCATTTTCCCTCCTATCCGACCTATTAGAAGATAAGAAAATTATATCGTCGTGAATTTCATTCCTTATCTGGCCTTTAACTAGACATCCAATTATCTACAACGATGTTAAAATGTGTTCTGAGTCTTCCCGAAAAAGAGTACTGCATTTTGCATGAAAAAGCTCGATTTCAAATGAAAATTTTGCATGCTCAACATTTATCTTTATTTTCAGATATCAATATTTTGTGAATATTATTGTACCTGAATGGCTTCTCTTAAAGAAGAAATACAGTGATTCTCTGACGAAGTTAGAGGCTCATTTTGTTTCTTACACGAAGCCTGTATTTTGGATATAAACACTGTTCGAGGGCAAATTGCAAATTTTCTACCGTTTATTTCTCTTTCTCAGATACCGACGACTGTGACCCTCTTCCTTGCGAAAACGGTGCAACTTGTAACGACGGAGTAAATAACTACACTTGTACCTGTATGGCTGGCTACGAGGGCTACAACTGTTCCAAAGGTAAGTGAGATCATTTTTTCCCTCCTATTCCACCTATAAGTAGAGAAGAAAGTTATATTGTCCTGACTTTAATTCCCTTATTATGCCTTTAACTAGATACACAATGATCTATAACGATGTAAGAGTGTGTTCAGTTTCTTCCTGAAAACGAGTTCTACATTTTGCATGAGAAACCTCGATTTCGAGGAACAAATTTGCCATGCTCAACATTCATATTTATTCTCAGATATCAATAATTGTGACTATGCTTGTACCTGAATGACTTCTCTTAAAGAAGAAATACAGTGATTCCAAAACGAAGTTAAAAGCTCTTTTATTTTCTTACAAGAAGCCTTGATTTTGGATACATAAACTCAATCTCAAGTGCAAATTGCAAAATTTCCACCATTTATTTCTCTTTCTCAGATATCGACGACTGTGACCCTCTTCCTTGCGAAAACGGTGCAACATGTCACGACGGAGTAAATAAATATACTTGTACTTGTATGGCTGGCTACGAGGGCTACAACTGTTCCATATGTAAGTTAGATCACTTTCCCTCCTATTCCACCTGTTAAGAGAGAAGAAAGATATACTCTCCTGAATTTAATTCTTTATCTCGCCTTTAACTAGACATCCAATGATCTATAGCGATGTAAGCATGTGTTCACTTTCTTTCCGAAAACGAGGCCTATATTTTTGCATGAATAACCTCGATTTCGAATGAAAATCTTGCCATGTTCAACATTTACCTTTATTTTCAGATATCAATAATATCCATCCTTCGGTTTTGCTTAAAGAAGAAACTCAGTAACTGCAAGACGAAGTTGGAAGCTCTTTTCTTTCCGTACACGAAGCTCAGATTTTGGATATAACCTTAAGAGTTCGATTGAAAATTGGAAGCTTTTTCATTATTTATTTCTGTTTTTAAGATTTAGATGTCTGTAACCCTTCTTTTTGCGAAAACGGTGCAACTTGTACTGATGCAGGAGTAAATAACTACACTTGTACCTGTATGGCTGGCTACGAGGGCTACAACTGTTCCATAGGTAACTTAGATCATTTTCCCTCCTATTCCACCTATTAGTAGAGAAGAAAAGGATATTGTCCTGAATTTCATTCCTTATCTTGCCTTAAACTAGACATCCAATGATCTACAACGATTTTAGAATGCGTTCTGGGTCTTTCCGAAAAAAGTCGTGCATTTTTCTTGAAAAAGCTCGATTTCAAGTGAAAATTTTGCCATGCTCAACATTTATCTTTATTTTCAGATATCAATATTTTATGAATATTACTGTGCCTGAATGGCTTCTCCTAAAGAAGAAATTAAGTGACACTAAAACGAAGTTTGAAGCTCATTCATTTGCGTAAACGTCGCCTGTATTTTGAGTATAAACACAGTTCGAATAAAAATTGCAAATTTTTCTACCGTTTATTTCTCTTTTTCAGATATCGACGACTGTGACCCTCTTCCTTGCGAAAACAATGCAACGTGTAATGACGGAGTAAATAACTATACTTGTACCTGTATGGCTGGCTACGAGGGCTACAACTGTTCCATAGGTAAGTTGGTTCATTTTCCTCCCTATTACACCTATCAATAAAGAAGAAAGTTAAATTGTCCTGAATTTTAATTCCTTATCTTGCTTTTAACAATACATACGATGATCTATAACGATGTTAGAATGTGTTTACTTTTTTCCCGAAAACGAGACCTACATTTTGCATGAACAACCTCGATTTCCCGTGAAACGTTTCAATGGTCAACATTTATCTTTATTTTCAGATATCAATAATTGTGACTATGCATGTCCCTGTATGGCTGCACTGACTCTAAAACGAAGTTGGAAGCTCTTTTCTTTTCGTACACGAAGCCTGGATTTTGTATATATACACTAGAGTTCGAGTGCAAATTGCAAATTCTTCACCGTTTATTTCTCTTTTACAGATATCGACGACTGCTACACTGATCCTTGCGAAAACGGTGCAAATTGTACCGACGAAGTAAATGACTATAACTGTACCTGTATGGATGGCTACGAGGGCAAGAATTGTTCCCAAGGTATGAAACATCATTTTTCTTATAGGTTACATCACTGTAGAGAGTAAGGTTACAAATGTTTGGTTTAGTGATCATTCGGTTTCTCTCTAAGAAATTTTAAATTCCTTATCTTGCTTTTAACTATACACACGATGATCTATAACGATGTTAGAATGTGTTTTCGTTTTTCCCGAAAACGAGACCTACATTTTGCATGAATAACTTCGGTTTCCTGTGAAACGCTTGCCATGTTCAACATTTATCTTTATTCTCAGATATTAATAATTATGACTATGCATGTCCCTGTATGGCTTCTCTTAAAGAAGAAACGCAATGACTCAAAAACGAAGTTGGAAGCTCATTTCTTTTCTCACACGAAAACTTGACTTCGGATATATACACAGACGTTCGAGTGCAAATTGTAAATTTTCCTCCATTTACTCTCTCTTTCAGATATCGACGACTGTAATTCTTATCCTTGCGAAAACGGTGCGACGTGTAGGGATGCAGGAGTAAATAACTATACTTGTACCTGTAAGGATGGCTACGAGGGCATAAATTGTTCCCAAGGTATGATACATCATTTTTCTTCTAGGCCACATCACTGTGGAGAGTAAAGTTACATAGGTTCGGTTTAGTGATCCCTTCGGTTTCTCTTAAAGAAGAAACGCAGTGACTCTAAAACGAAGTTGGAAGCTCATTTCTTTTCGCATACGAAAACTTGATTTCGGATATATATATATATACACAAGAAAAGAGGGATGTACTCGTAAGGCTGGCTACGATGGCAAGAACTGTTCCCAAAGTAAGTTAGATCATTTTTCCTCCTATTCCACCCATTAGCAGAGAAGAAAGTTAAACTGTCCTGAATTTATCTCCTTAGCTTACCTTTAACTAGACACACATTGATCTATAACGATGTTCCAATGTGTTTTTCTTCCCGAAAACGAGATCTAAATTTTGCACGAATAGCCGGTTTCGAGTGATAAAATTTGCCATGTTCAACATTTATCTTAATAAGCGGCAAATTTGAGATGTTCGACGTTGATTTATATTTTTTCAGATATCGACGACTGTGACTCTAATCCTTGTGAAAACAATGCAACTTGTGTTGATGAAGTAAATGACTATACTTGTAACTGTACGGTTGGCTACTTTGGCAAGAACTGTTCGCAAAGTATGATACTTCATATATTATATCCTAGTCTGTTTCTTTTTAAGAGATTTCGGTTGCATTCTCGTAAATGGTTTAAAAGCCTTTTCTTTTCTCCGAGGTAAATGTCACAATGATTAAACTCAAACTTGGAATTTGTCTTTCTCACATAATGGAAACCTATATTTCTTAACTTTGCACCCATGTTTAGGCGGCAAATTTGAGATTTTCGACTTCGATTTGCATTTTTTTCAGATGTAAACTACTGTGAACCTGAACCTTGCGAAAACGGTGCAACTTGTACTATTGAAGTAAATGACTATAGTTGTACCTGTACGACTGGCTACGAGGGCAAGAACTGTTCTCGAGGTATGATATATCATTTCCTTCTAGATCACATCCTTGTAGATAATGAGGTTACATAAGTTTGGTTAAGCCATTCTTCGGTTTCTCTTAACCGAAATTTTTTCCGCCGTTTATTTCTCTTTTTCAGATATCGACGACTGTGTTTCTAATCCTTGCGAAAACGAGGCAAATTGTACCGATGCAGGAGTAAATAACTATACTTGTACCTGTGTGGCTGGCTACGAGGGCAAGAACTGTTCCCAAAGTATAATACATCATTTCCCTTTTAGTTCACATAATTATAAATAATAAGGTTACATAGGTTTGGTTTTGCCATCCTTCGGTATCTCTTAAAGAAGAAAAATAGAGACTCTAAAACGAAGTTGGAAGCTGTTTTCTTTTCATACAAGAAGTGTATAATTTGGACATATACACTAGAGTTCGAGTGCATATTGCAAATTTTCCACCATTTATTTCTCTTTTTTCAGACATCGACGACTGTCACCCTAATCCTTGTAAAAACGGTGCAAATTGTACCGACAGAGTAAATAACTATACTTGTACCTGTATGGCTGGCTACAAGGGCCCCAACTGTTCCATAGGTAAGTTGGATCATTTTCCTCCCGATTACACCTATCAATAAAGAAGAAAGTAAAATTGTCCTGAATTTTAATTCCTTATCTTGCTTTTAACAATATACACGATGATCTATAACGATGTTAAATGTGTTTACTTTTTTCCCGAAAACGAGACCTACATTTTGCATGAACAACCTCGATTTCCTGTGAAACGTTTTCAATGTTCAACATCTATCTTTATTTTCAGATATCAATAATTGCGACTATGCATGTCCCTGTATGGCTTCTCTTAAAGAAGAAATGCACTGACTCTAAAACGAAGTTGGAAACTCTTTTCCTTTCGTACACGAAGCCTGGATTTTGTATATATACACTAGAGTTCGAGTGCAAATTGCAAATTCTTCACCGTTTATTTCTCTTTTACAGATATCGACGACTGCTACACTGATCCTTGCGAAAACGGTGCAAATTGTACCGACGAAGTAAATGACTATAACTGTACCTGTATGGATGGCTACGAGGGCAAGAATTGTTCCCAAGGTATGAAACATCATTTTTCTTATAGGGTTACATCACTGTAGAGAGTAAGGTTACATATGTTTGGTTAAGTGATCCTTCGGTTTCTCTCTAAGAAATTTTAAATTCCTTATCTTGCTTTTAACTATACACACGATGATCTATAACGATGTTAGAATGTGTTTTCGTTTTTCCCGAAAACGAGACCTACATTTTGCATGAATAACCTCGGTTTCCTGTGAAACGCTTGCCATGTTCAACATTTATCTTTATTTTCAGATGTCAAAAAATTGTGACTATGCATGTCCCTGTATGGCTTCTCTTAAAGAAGAAACGCAATGACTCGAAAACGAAGTTGGAAGCTCTTTTCTTTTCTCACACGAAAACTTGATTTCGGATATATACACAGACGTTCGAGTGCAAATTGTAAATTTTCCTCCATTTATTTCTCTCTTTCAGATATCGACGACTGTAATTCTTATCCTTGCGAAAACGGTGCGACGTGTAGGGATGCAGGAGTAAATAACTATACTTGTACCTGTAAGGATGGCTACGAGGGCATAAATTGTTCCCAAGGTATGATACATCATTTTTCTTCTAGGCCACATCACTGTGGAGAGTAAAGTTACATAGGTTCGGTTTAGTGATCCCTTCGGTTTCTCTTAAAGAAGAAACGCAGTGACTCTAAAACGAAGTTGGAAGCTCATTTCTTTTCGCATACGAAAACTTGATTTCGGATATATATATATATACACAAGAAAAGAGGGATGTACTCGTAAGGCTGGCTACGATGGCAAGAACTGTTCCCAAAGTAAGTTAGATCATTTTTCCTCCTATTCCACCCATTAGCAGAGAAGAAAGTTAAACTGTCCTGAATTTATCTCCTTAGCTTACCTTTAACTAGACACACATTGATCTATAACGATGTTCCAATGTGTTTTTCTTCCCGAAAACGAGATCTAAATTTTGCACGAATAGCCGGTTTCGAGTGATAAAATTTGCCATGTTCAACATTTATCTTAATAAGCGGCAAATTTGAGATGTTCGACGTTGATTTATATTTTTTCAGATATCGACGACTGTGACTCTAATCCTTGTGAAAACAATGCAACTTGTGTTGATGAAGTAAATGACTATACTTGTAACTGTACGGTTGGCTACTTTGGCAAGAACTGTTCGCAAAGTATGATACTTCATATATTATATCCTAGTCTGTTTCTTTTAAGAGATTTCGGTTGCATTCTCGTAAATGGTTTAAAAGCCTTTTCTTTTCTCCGAGGTAAATGTCACAATGATTAAACTCAAACTTGGAATTTGTCTTTCTCACATAATGGAAACCTATATTTCTTAACTTTGCACCCATGTTTAGGCGGCAAATTTGAGATTTTCGACTTCGATTTGCATTTTTTTCAGATGTAAACTACTGTGAACCTGAACCTTGCGAAAACGGTGCAACTTGTACTGTTGAAGTAAATGACTATAGTTGTACCTGTACGACTGGCTACGAGGGCAAGAACTGTTCTCGAGGTATGATATATCATTTCCCTTCTAGATCACATCCTTGTAGATAATGAGGTTACATAAGTTTGGTTAAGCCATTCTTCGGTTTCTCTTAACCGAAATTTTCCGCCGTTTATTTCTCTTTTTCAGATATCGACGACTGTGTTTCTAATCCTTGCGAAAACGAGGCAAATTGTACCGATGCAGGAGTAAATAACTATACTTGTACCTGTGTGGCTGGCTACGAGGGCAAGAACTGTTCCCAAAGTATAATACATCATTTCCCTTTTAGTTCACATAATTATAAATAATAAGGTTACATAGGTTTGGTTTTGCCATCCTTCGGTTTCTCTTAAAGAAGAAAAATAGAGACTCTAAAACGAAGTTGAAAGCTGTTTTCTTTTCATACAGGAAGTCTATAATTTGGACATATGCACTAGAGTTCGAGTGCAAATTGCAAATTTTTCTACCGTTTATTTCTCTTTTTCAGATATCGACGACTGTGACCCTCTTCCTTGCGAAAACAATGCAACGTGTAATGACGGAGTAAATAACTATACTTGTACCTGTATGACTGGCTACAAGGGCCCCAACTGTTCCATAGGTAAGTTGGATCATTTTCCTCCCTATTACACCTATCAATAAAGAAAAAAGTAAAATTGTCCTGAATTTTAATTCCTTACTTGCTTTTAACAATACCCACGATGATCTATAACGATGTTAAATGTGTTTACTTTTTTCCCGAAAACGAGACCTACATTTTGCATGAACAACCTCGATTTCCTGTGAATCGTTTGCAATGTTCAACATTTATCTTTATTTTCAGATATCAATAATTGCGACTATGCATGTCCCTGTATGGCTTCTCTTAAAGAAGAAATGCACTGACTCTAAAACGAAGTTGGAGGCTCTTTTCTTTCCGTACACGAAGCCTGGATTTTGTATATATACACTAGAGTTCGAGTGCAAATTGCAAATTCTTCACCGTTTATTTCTCTTGTACAGATATCGACGACTGCTACCTTGATCCTTGCGAAAACGGTGCAAATTGTACCGACGGAGTAAATGACTATACCTGTACCTGTATGGATGGCTACGAGGGCAAGAATTGTTCCCAAGGTATGAAACATCATTTTTCTTCTAGGTTACATCAGTGTAGAGAGTAAGGTTACATATGTTTGGTTAAGTGATCCTTCGGTTTCTCTCTAAGAAATTTTAAATTCCTTATCTTGCTTTTAACTATACACACGATGATCTATAACGATGTTAGAATGTGTTTACTTTTTTCCCGAAAGCGAGACCTACATTTTGCATGGATAACCTCGGTTTCCTGTGAAACGCTTGCCATGTTCAACATTTATCTTTATTTTCAGGTATCAATAATTGTGAGTAGGCATGTCCCTGTATAGCTTCTCTTAAAGAAGAAACGCAATGACTCAAAAACGAAGTTGGAAGCTCATTTCTTTTCTCACACGAAAACTTGATTTCGGATATATACACAGACGTTCGAGTGCAAATTGTAAATTTTCTACTATTTATTTCTCTTTTTCAGATATCGACGACTGTGACCCTAATCCTTGCGAAAACGGTGCAAGTTGTACCGATGGAGTAAATAACTATACTTGTACCTGTATGGCTGGTTACGAGGGCAAGAACTGCTCCCAAAGTATGATTCATCATTTCTTCCTTCTAAAATAAGTTTTGGAGCTTAAGGTTACATACTTGTTGACTAACATTCTCTGCTTTATCCTACATGGAGGACAAAATGAATTTAAAGAAACTTGTCGTCGTTCAAAAATTGTTCTCGATGACTCAATGTGATACTAATCCTTACCAAAACGGAGGAACCCGTACAGATTAAACACATGGCTATAAATGTGCATGTGTGGCTGGTTACAATGGAGCAGACTGCGAAAACAATATGATAGTTTGTCAACAAAATTCTTGCTAATCTAGCCAAGTTAGATACTAATGATGAGAATTCCTTTTGGCTGCTGGAATGTTCAATTTACACCTCACATGTAAATTAATTAAGGGAAGGGTGGAAGATCTAATGCGTATATTGTTTGTGTTGTAACCATTATTCAGATGTGGATGAATGCGCTTCCAATCCTTGCCAAAACGGGACCTGTATGGACGGGATAAATGATTATACCTGCAACTGTACAGTCGGATTTATTGGGAAAAACTGCGACCACGGTATGATAGTTTCTTTTAATATTTTGCCATGTGTATCTTACCGCTTTCCAAACGATTTGGATGTCCAAAATGGCATATTTTTGGATAAATCGACGGTTTCTTTCTGCATTTTTTTGTAATTACTAAAAAAAATCAAATTTTGCGGACAAAATTTTAAAATGAATTTAATATTTATTTTCTGCCCGTAAGAAAGTATGTGTTAATAAACACTTTCGAAACTATTTTGAGTTTTCCAAAATAGCATTTTTCGTGAAAAACGGACCTTTATAAAATAATTCAAATAGTACGCGCACACTGATTGGCCATAAAACCATTTTCCATGAGCGTATGTAAACACGGTTTTCGTTCCTCTTTCATTAGTTATTTTATAGAAGAAATGTAAAATGATTTCCGTGTTTACATAGCCTGACGTAAACACGCGGGAGGTTGGGGGAACACGAGATAAGCGTAGGAAAACACGACGCGAAGCGGAGTGGTTTCCAGCTTATCGAGTGTATAGGCTATGTAAACACGGAAACCATTTTACATTTCTTCATTATAACATAGCGAGCGTGCTAGCACTATATAAGTCTTATTGAACCGCTATGAACAAAATCTTTATTTACGCACGTCCGTGCGTAAATAAGATAACGTGAGCATTTTTTTTTAACCTGGCATTAGAGTTTCCGTCCTGTTAAGCTGCAGCGTAGTTTTCTTTTTCTTCGAAATGTGAAAGAAACCAGCGAAGAACTGCCCAATTTTTCTATGCATTGACCTTTTAAGTCCTGATCCAACAAGCAACAAAAATAAAGCCGAAAAAACTCGCAAATTGCACCCAGTTTGTCGGAAGACCAGCTGCAGCAAATTTTGGCCGAAAGACATTCACTGGGAACGAGAAAAGTCACCAATTGGTCATTAACAACATTTAAAGGTAAAATTTCCGTTTTTGTTGTTGTTTTTAAATTTGTTCAACCTGAGGAATAAAGTACACAGTTGTTAATTGGGAATTTACCAAAACCAAAACAATCAAGGCCGCAAAAAATCTAAATGCGACAAATATTTTTGCACTCCATCACAATAAAAGGCTTCTTCGCGCAGATTCTTGTTGTCGCTCTGTTATAAAGGTTTTTAATGTAATGCAGACATTGTGCAAGGTTTGACGTCCGATGCTGCAGAAATTCTGCATGGTATGGCGTCTAATGCTGCAGAAATTCTGAAAGGTACGACTTCAAATGTTGCAGAAATTCTGCAAGATTTGACCGCCTAAGCGTGCAAAAATTCTGCACGCCTTGACGTACAGTGCTGCAGAAATTCTGCACGCCTCACCGTCCAGTGTTGTAGGACGCGCAGCCGAAGTTTTCTCAATAAAACGAGGTTTAATTTGATCATATGATAACAAATGGTCTTAAAACCTTTATATCATCTACTTCCATTAAAAAGATATTTTTTAATAGAATGAGATAGATGGTATCGTCTTTCTTATTCTTTATTATTTACAAAACATGATGCTATCGACATTGCTGATCCTAGCAGTATACAGGACGCGCGTCATGCATGAACTTCGTGATGGGCCTTGCTCACCATCGAGTCTTCGTGCTCAGCAGTAGGGCAACGGAGCGCGGACTTTTTCTTTCTCCCGCGCTCATGACAAGACGAAAAAACATCTTTCGCTGAAAATTATTTTATGAACCCTACATCTCTTACCTCCAATGAAAGTGGAATGCCTCTTCTGGATAAACTTCTCGCAACAGATAAGGAATGTTATGTGCTGTAATACATAGGAAAACAACAAACAAAAAGTTAGAACTATTCTGCCTTTCACCATGTTTAGTTTCATCCATTTTCTTCTCTGTCTTATGGTACTTCGTGCAAAATGCTGAGAAGTTAGAAGGCATAGAAGTGTACGATGAGCACTATCGAGTTGATCTACTAAACGATTTCACTGCAAATTTTTGTTATCTAACAGTTGATCCTTGCTATACCGATCCGTGTGAAAACGATGGGCAGTGTTTCGTGGATGACAACTACGATTTCTTCTGTGTCTGTCCAATTCCTAAAGCCTACGAAGGAAAAAATTGTAGTAAACCAGGTAAGCGATGAGTTGTTTTCTCTTACGATCTCTTCAATCCACCGGGATTCTCGCCGTCGATATCGCGCTTTGCTTAAGGACCCCAACCGAACAAATGGGAAGCGACAGTTTTCCTGGTTGATTACGACTTGAACGATTTACGGTAACATTTCCATGATTTAAGCATATAACAGCTTACACAACGCATTGCACTAAGCCTCATCTAATTGAGTGGTGGGAAATGAAAGGTCCTCATGGCCAACGCACCGAGCACTACGTATGTAAGGTTTGGGTTTGAGTCGCGATTGGAGGAAATGTTGCGTTGTGTTTCCAGGTGCCCATCTGCATTCAGAAGATTAAAAGGTTACGATGAAATTCTTCTTCGTGAAAAGTCGCTGAGTGGCTGAGGAGGGGTGGGAAGGGGGCTACACCGTACTGGATGAGTTAGTAATATATCACTTCATGCTAAATGTAGGTTGTCCTTTGGCGTTGGCCACTTGGCTCCGAGAACTTGATCCTCTGAACTAATCTCAAACATTTTTCACACAGTTGACTGTTTCTGGAATAAAATGTATCCATACGGAGAAGAACAGAGCGACAAGGAGATGGACGTAGGATTGATCCGTGATGAGCTGTGTGAAGAAGTATTGTACGACTATGGTATATGGTTCTTTGATGACAAGCACTACGTCCTGTATGTAAGTATCATGACTTATTCCAGCCTGCGCTGAAGAGGTGTAATCCTAATTGAAAATCAACAATCCAGAGGGCCTCGTCACTACAAATGCAGTGATTTTTTGCCGATTATAAAAGATAGCAAAAAGGAGATTTTGAACATTGCTTTTTGTTAAATCGGAAATCAAAATATAGAAAGCAGATATAAAAAAAAAGGACAGGAAATGAAAATAAGAAAACCTATGTTCAAATTTGGAAGGTGTACCAAAGGATACGATAGAATCTCTACTCAGGTGACAATCTAGGGACAAGAAAATTTGTTCCTCTAATGAATCTGACTTATCAAAGGAGGCAACAAAAATAATTGCGTTTTAATAGTATAACTTTGTGCTGCACATTTTTTGACACGCCCAGCAGCTTTCGAAATCCTCTGCAATAAAAACGAGTCTAATTTTAAAACCATTTTCATCAGCCTTTTGGGGGTTTTAACACTGCCAAAAGGTTAACTTCCAACTTCCTTTTAATGAGACCAAAACTAAACAAATGTTTACAACCTTTTCCAGATTTGTGCCAATGGAATGATTCGTTTCGATATAGAATATGTGAGGTACTTCCCAGTTCCAACCTTTGACGTCGAGGAATTCCCGTTCGAAGTCCCTATGTTGTTCCCCTTCTGGTCGAAAATCGACATATACGACTCATTCTGTTCCAGTGAGCAGGACTGCCTTTCTGGTGACATAGATTATGAAAACCGTTCTGCAGTATTCTACCAAGTTTACACGGAAGATAACAATGCAATGAATGCATCATATATTCTAGAAAAAGCTAGTAAAGACGTCAGAGAGAATTCGAACGACCCAGAGTTCCAGAACTTCACGGCTTCGTGGGTACTCGTAGTGACCTGGTTACGTCTTCGTCCAGAAGAGGAGGCCGAGGGCGATGCTGAAGAAGGAGTGGTAAGTCTTTCAGAAATACACATAAATCACAAAGGTTTTTTTAAAATGGAACTGTTCTTCTAACTATCCTCTCTTTCCAGCAGGTTGTCAATGCCAGCACTTTTTTACCGAATTCGTATTGACTGCGCACCACACACCATGTGGTCTGTAACGGTTCATAAAGAATTTGATTAATTCATTGCAGAACTGTCATTTAAACGAAAATCAAACTTAAACGTTAGTGCAGTCGTCGTATAGCATAGTTGAAACCAATTGTTAAACTTAATTGAAGGCCTTATGTCGACATCTCTTTTAAAAAAATCTTCTTGCAAGGAATCCAAATATTATTGACACAAAATGTAACAAAAAGCCAACAAGCAATCCGTTTTTTTTCTATGGATTTCAGACTAATACATTCCAAGCAGTACTCATCACTGATGGAACCTACACATTTCTGAAGTACCATTACCCCTGCGATTCTCTTCAGTGGGCATCGCCAAAATTTTAGTAAGTACAAAACGACCAAACGTTTCTAAAACTCCTGCTAAAAGGAGGAGATTCCATGTGTCTAGTTGAGGAAAAGTGCAAATCGAGCGTCCAGACCTCGTATCATGAAAAGTGACATGTTTTTCCTCGCTGTTAAGAGACACATGTATTTCGCAAACACTTGTAACAAATTTATTAGAAAATTATTTTCTCTTCAGTGAATTGTTTCCAGAAGATTTTGGCGGCTATCCTGTAGCAGGTATAAACGCTGGTGATGGAAATCTGGAAGATGCCGAGAGATTCTTTAGTCTCGAAGGGTAAGCTTGTTCACCAAATATGGCGCCTAAACTTTTGACTAGCATTGACTTAAAACAAAACAAAACTTTGATTGGTTTGCCCCTGAACTTGTCCCAAGAACCTTGCACCGCTCTTTCAACAACCCTTTCAAACAAACAATAAGTTGCAAATCTAGAAACCAATCTCAATTATCTCCAAAGAAAACTTTCAAACGCGCACCCTCATGAATGCGAATAGTATTACGTGCAATGAGCGCGCGCTATGGCTATCTACAGCATAACTTGAACAACCAGGCTTGTTTTTGGAATTAGATTTTTACTTACCTTTTTGTTACTTCAATTGTCAAATATTGGTTGTTTTAATTTGATCGATCTGTGCACGTAATCGCCGTTCTCTCTTCATAGCTTGAGGTCTGATTGTTTCTTTCTCTAGATCGGCTTCTCCAGGGATAACGGGTCTCACCCTGGGGAGAGAAAATGCGGACAACAATGGGGAGTATTTCTTTAGACTTGAACGCAGAACAGGAGACGACCCTGAAACAAAATGCAGGAAGTGGTCCGACTGGCAAGAAAAATATCTAAAAGATGATATATCGAACGCTGATAACTTTATCCCAGATTGTCCCTGTTCGATCTTCCAAGCTATTTTTTCTCCCAGCTACTTTCTAATTTTCTCCACTGAATCAGACAGCGTTTGTTTCATTAGCATTTCCATCTTCCCGTTCGCCAAGGCAACAGGTAGCAACAGTTTCGTACAAGGATTTATCCATCGAAAGTGTTGCTACTCGACTTTCCTTGAAGACTTTGGTGCGCTTTTAACGGAAAGCAGTAATCCCGGAAGTTTAGAAGTTAACTATATAGATAAGCCTGAAGATTTACTGGATGATGCCGAAGCGAAACAGGCATGCTGCTTCGACTCTTTCAGCTGTGATTTGTACGAGGATGTGCGCCCCTCAGATGATTGTGAACGTTTCTTTATTTTCCCAAGACGTAAGTCACTAGTTTCACTGACAGGAAAAAATATATTGTGTATATTTAAGGTCAGTCAACAAATTTTAATTAAGTACCGTAATAAGAAATGTGAAAATTATCAACAGCTTTAGAATTACTTTCAAGGTGTCCTATTGGAACGTATTGCCACGAATAGTTCCCGACACCGATATCAAATAGCATCCTCGACCCTTAAACACCTACGAATGACTAGCATCTAATTTCTCTATACGTTGTCACTCCTGAGTCAAACAATAAGGTTATGAGAATACAGGAACGACCACCCACCTAATAAACTCTTGATTGTTAAACAAATTCTCCTTGTCAGTACTTTAGGAAATGTATAGGAAACAATATGGAGAATATGCGTGCTGATATTAGGGTGTCACGGATAAAGCTTCCTGGTTTTTTTAAGGGAAGCATAAAATGTCATATCCGAAATAGCCACAGAAACCTCTTTCGGTCCATTTACCGGAGTTGCGACTGTATTAACAAAATTTCGAATGCAATGATCTTTTTTTTTTCATCATGTTAACAAACCTGCCTTCTCTTTCTAGGTTGGTTTTGGGGAGATCCACACTTTAAAACACTAGACGATAAGGACTACACGTTCAACGGTGTTGGGGAATACACCATGGTTGATGGCAAAAACGGTACGTTTAAGCTTCAAGCAAGAACAGTACTGGCCCCTGGAAATCGTAGTATAGCTACGGTGTTCTCTGCTGGAGCTGCTCAAGAAAATGGAAGCAGCAGAGTCGAAGTTAGAGCCAAAAGTGGAGGTGGGATTTTTGCAATTCACATCGATTAACCATTTTAGTTGTCTTTGCTTAAAAAGTTGAATTAAATCCAGTAAAATACAGGATACATATCTTAATACAATCGATATATCTCATGTATGCCAGATTCTCTCAGAAGCCTATTTTAACATTTTATCTTTTGTGCATGTTTTGCTCTCCACGTGCAGGTGGATTGGAAATGTATATCAATGTTAGACCATATGCCGGGTTCGATAGTGTGACAAATATCAGCAAGGATATATCTTAATGCAATTGAAATATCTCGTCTGCGCCAGATTCTCTCAGAAGCCTATTTTAACATTTTATCTTTTGTGCATGTTTTGCTCTCCATGTGCAGGTGGATTGGAAATGTATATCAATGGAACATCGTATGCCGAGTTCGATAGTCTGACAAATATCAGCAAGGAGATCGGAGAAAATCTGAGAGCGGCCCAAAAAAATCCTGGCTGCGTTGAGGTGACCTTCAAGAGTGGATCAGGCGTTGAATTCTGTGAGGCCAAGGGGATGATGTCATTTGTGGTGACCTTGAGTAAAGAGTTCCTTAACAACACAAAAGGGCTTCTTGGAACTTACAATAACAATCCAGATGACGACTACACTTTGCCGAATGGGACTACTTTGGGTCCAAACGTCAATTCCTCTACTATTCATTATGATTTCGGTTTGAAGTGTGAGTATTGGTTTTCCACATAAATGGAAGAATCAGACACTTGAAAAGAGATAACCGAAAAGATGGGTCTGTGGGTCTCAAATGGAAGCTATTTAACAAAAACGAGTAGGGAGACAATCGGGCACTGGGCTTGTACTCTGTTAGACCCACCCTTCTAGTCTCTGGATTCGTTCTAAGTTGCCCCGAGTTCCACTTCTTGGTTGCACTTTGTATATAGCCAGCTGGTCTGCCTCCTGCCGGCGAGGGTTTTTAAACAATGCCAAATCTTTTATTTCTCGAAGTTAAAAACCAACGAAGAAATAAGTTAGACCATCAAAGAAACAAGTCTTCTTATTGGCATAAATGCGCGGTTTCATCCCGTTGACGATTTCTAGTCCTATTTAGTCATCATTTTATTAGCACACCAAACATTCCTATCATAGAAATATTATAATCTAATTACTCTTTAATTTATTAGGGCAAATAACAGCCGAAGAGTCTTTGTTCACTTACGGTCCTAATGAAGGCGTTCACACTTTCGCCAATGCAAGCTTCAAGCCCATGTTTGTCGAGGCCATCAAGTGGGCGGACAATGCCACTGAGCAGGCAGCTAAGGATGCTTGTGGAGGTGACGTGGTGTGTCTCTTCGATGCTGCTTCTACGAATGATGTTTCCATAGGAACCAACAGCAAAGACGTAAACGTGAAGTTAGTAAAGGAGAACGAAAAACTTGGTAAGCTAAGGAATCGTACGATATTTCATTCAGGATAACTGGCTGGGTTCGCTAAAATATACCCTTGAGATTTACCTTTACGGTGAATATCGCAGATACGTTTTCTCTACGATATTCCGTTTCCATATCTGCAACACCATGGGTTCTTACGAAGCTTTAGGCCTGTTTAAAAGTGAGTGTCTGACGTATTGAGAACGGAGTAGCCAATAGTCTCCATTTATGTCTGGTAATCACTAGGCTAAATCTCGGTTCTGATCCGTACACATATTTGTTTAGCTGGTCAATAACAGGAGTTCCACTTTCTCGTCATAGCAAAAGCATGAAAGATGATCCCAAACATATAAACCACTTGAGTAATAAATAAGGAAAACAGCTTAGGGCTCCAGTAATAGGGTCAAACGTGGTCGTACTTTAGTGGATTCTTCCAAACACTTAGATCAGGATTTTAAGAAAAAGCATGTACAGAAAAGGTTGGAAAGAATTTGAAATTATAGTCTTAAATTTAACTTAAATGTTGTCACTCTACAGCGAACTTCCCACCAAAATTTACTTACGTTCCATCAGTCATCGAAGCCACAGTTGGGGAAGTCCTGTGGGTCAACGTCACAGCTAAAGATAACAACTCCTTTACGTTTAATGTCATCAAAAAGCCACAAGGAGCAACTTTTAACACAGTGGGCAAAAATCTACTCAATTTTACTTGGAATGTAACTTCTAAAGAAAAGGTAAACCTACTCTTATTCCTATCATAACTTAACCCCTTTAACTCGCATGAGTGACCAAGACAGAATTTCTTCTTACAATATCAATACAATATCAATTAGACAGGTGATGAGAATAAAGAAAAATATAAGTTTGAGGATTTTCTATTTGATCCAGTACCAAAGACTCAGAACTAGTATCATAAGAATTGTATAGCGAACAGTAAGGAGAAATACTAATGAGATCTTGGGCGTTAAAGGGCTAACACATTGATGTGGTGTTATCCTTCAGGTCAAATTCACGTTCACGGCAACAGACGAATTCAACGCTTCCAAAAGCTTCACACCCACTATCAAAATGTGCGCCTGCGAAAATAATGGCCAGTGCGTCAAACCAGCGCAAGGAGACAAGTTAAATAATGACAGTAAATTCATAATCCAAGGTTGCACATGTAAACCGGGATACACCGGCAGGTTCTGTGAGAATGACATTGATGCTTGCAAAGTGAACGGAAACCCTTGCTTCAAGGGCGTCAACTGTACCGATAAACCGGCGCCGGCTAACTTAACAGGTTATACCTGTGGAGACTGTCCAACTGGGTATTCCGGTAACGGCATCAAATGTGCGGGTAAGAAAATATGTAGGCTTTATTTTTAAATTTTTGCAAAGTTCAAATCATCCTGCGGTAGAATTTGATCTTTGTTTTCTATGTTCCACGCAGTTAACAAATGTTTTACTTCTCTCTGTTCTATTTTGGATTCACAATGAATTGTTCGCTATTCCATAACATTTAATGAGTGTAGCAAGATAGAGTATTTATTTTAATGATGAATTTCACTATGATTCGCCATGATTCTATGCTGATGCGATTCCAAAGAGTCTACGGCAAAATAACCCCTATCAAAGACTACGAATTCTCCAACAATTGTGTTTCAGAGCCAATTATTTCAAGCTTCTTCATAGAGTTTTTCGGTTTTTTTTTTCGTATGTAGACATCGACGAATGCAAAAACAACTCGATTAACCAATGTGAGCAGGAATGTGTCAATAACCCTGGTTCATATAGTTGCAAATGCAAATCTGGCTTCAAGTTAAACAGCAACGGCTTCGCCTGCGATGGTAAGTTGAACGGAGATTGAAAAACCCGGAGGTAAACCTTTAAGTAAAAGTAATCATTTCAAGCAAACAAATAGTACAAGCTCTGTGAAGCGATAACGCCTAGTCACTCAATTTTCAGCTTTCTTTATCACAGTATAATTGCTAGTGGGAAAAAAATATGGTGCGTATTTTTTTTCTAAGAAGTTCGAAGAGCTGACTGAAATAACTAATCGTGCGTCGCTTATTCACGATAACTTACATGATCAACAAACATGTTACAGTGTTACTCACCGATTTTTAATTCATTTCAACGCGACGTTTTCTCAGACAAGGAGCTCGATAATTTTCGCAATCTGGTTTCTTGCTGAACATGTTTGTTATGACTCATTTATTTCCTCAGACATCAACGAATGTGAGCCCGTTAATGATTGCATGCACCAATGCAACAACACGGCAGGAAGCTACAAATGTTACTGCAATGAGTTCTTTGAGGTTGACCCGGGAGACCTTAAAGCCTGCAAACGTAAGTTGAATTGTAACGCGCTTCATTAGTCCTATATACATGATTGTTCTGGAATGAAATTTTTTCCTCAAAACTTCCAAGTCATTTTTACTTGTAACAAAAGCTCACCTTAGGGTTGATAATAATTAGAAACCTATGGAGATCTAAGCATTAGGGTTACACTAATAAAGTTGTTACTTTTCCCACAAAAATGAACATGAAATAATCCTACATACTGCTCAAGACAGGACAATAGCATTTACACAAGATTAAACAGACTGAATCCTTTCCATCTTTTGCTCCAGCAACCAATCCTTGCAATAACAGCGATTGCCAAATCTGTTTTATAAAGAAAGACAACACACAAGCTTGTGACTGCAAAGCGGGATTTAAATTAGCTAGTGACGGCAAAACATGTGAAGGTAAGTTAAATAATAAATAGCATCTTTAGAGCACTCACATGTCAAATTTTTACACCAACAACCAATATTTTAGTTTTGGATGCCTCGATTAGGGGCCACTGATTAAACAATTGCTTAATGAGTCTTCGTATCCGTAACGTCCATTGAAGGAAAATGCCTATCAAAAGGATACTTGGCAAGGTCTTACTTATAGATGCTAAATTGCAATTATACGACGATGAAAATTGTCCTGAAGATGAAGGCCGAGAAACAACAAAAGATTAGCGTTTCAAGAAGGTAAATGCCCAAAATGGGAAGAAAGAGCGAACAAAATGGAACGGTATACTTAAGAAAGTGGAAGACTAATCGTGAACTCAAAGGAAACAACGATAAAAATTTTCGTTTTAATTTTGAGATGTACACATACCACGCCCGACGAGGCCCATTGAAGCAAGGTTGCTTTTGGACAGTTACATCGTGCGTGGAATATACATAATAAAAACCATCCAACCCTTTGTTACTTTGTCGTAGATATTGACGAATGCAAGATCGACGGTATCAGGTGCACACAGAAGTGTGAGAACAAAGATGGTGGATACGATTGCAAGTGTTATCCGGGATATCAGCTCGACGCAGATGGCTTCACCTGTTCTGGTAATAAGTCTTAAACTTGTTCAGAGTTACTACAGGCTAAATAATATCAAGCTAGTCCGTATCGACCTCATTCCAACGGCAATCCATTTTCCCTTTCAAGAGACAGCACATGGTTCACGACTTAGAATTGGTTACTTTTAGATCCTTCTTGCAGAGCGGGAATGGCGCAGTGGTGAGAGCGCTCGTCTCCTACCGCTGTGGACCGAATTCGATTCCCCTATTGAGTTTGTTTTTGGTTTGTTGTTTGTTCTCGTTCTTGCTCCGAGCGTTACTCTCCTCCTTTTTCTTCCCTCCACAAAAACCAACTTTAAAAAAATTTTAATTTGACCTGGAAACAGTGAACAAGAAGAGCTACCTCGTAAAATTTTAATTGCTTAGCTCCCATTCCCATCATTATCACCGGAAGTGATCTGGTTTTATGATGGGTGTTCCTCTGCTATCTTCTCATGCAAAATCTTGTTTAATTTTCCAAAACAGAAATTGTTGTCTGGTTTATGCAAAAACATCATAGATGGTCGTGCATGCATGAATGCAAAGCCAAATTTAAAATAAAATAACATGTTCGAATGACGACACGTTTTTAACACGTTCTGTTTGGAAGTCGATTTGTACTTTACAAACCATCATGTCTGCCGTTTCCAATTTGAGTCCTTTGACTTAAGCGCATAAAGTAATATTTTGTCTTGAGGAACTTTATCGGCTGTAAACAAAACATGAGCTTGATTTTTTTTTCTTTCAGATATCAATGAATGCTTAAACTCATCATTATTCAGTTGTCCTGGCAAATCGCGTGTCTGCGAAAATATCCCGGGTAATTACACATGCAAGTGCCAGAGCGGACTGTTCTACATAAACAATACGTGCACAGGTGAGAAGCGACACCAGAATTATTCGTTACATGTGGTAACGAATAACCTCTTAACCGTCGTGAAGAGAAGTCAAGGTCTTACATTGTGAGAAATCGCTTAACTGATTTTCGTGGGATACTCGCCCTGAGCAATGGATGAAAATCATTGTCAATCGATGCCTGCCATGTCGGCATGAGTTAAATTCAGCAGATTTTGTTGATCATTACTATTTTTAATTGGTTTAAGTAGTTCATTATTCTCCAGTTGCTTCGATCGATTATTATTACAACGATGAGAAATTTAACACAATAAAATCTAATCGAGCACAGAGAAAACAACCAACAGGGAAATATAAAAACCACCAGTATAGAATAAAAGGGTCAAAAATTCAAACAACCCCACAAAGGCTCTGAGACTCGCAAACTGTTATTCTCTTACAACACTTAACCTTGATCTGTTTGGTGATTTAGCCCTCAAACCAGGAGAAAAACCGCCGGAGCCGACAGTCCCAACGCCAAAGGAAGCATCTGAAAAAGAAAAAGAGAATGCGATTGAAATTACGCTACAAAATATGGAAAAGAAACAGGTAAACAACAGTGCTAGGACGTTTTCATTTTAACCTTCCTATCCGAGATACAAACGACAGACCTTTGTGGTGTTCATCTCCCATTTTTGAGGGCTATTTAGAAGTGACAGGATAACACTAAAACCATGTTGTTGTTTCCGTTTTTTTTTCTTCTGATAATTGAGTTGCTGTGAAGGACGCAAAGATGTGATCAGGGGACTTTTCTTGAGATTTCCCTTTGCCAATTTATGTAATCTTCAAAACTATACTCCAAACCACCTAATTTAATAGTACTTGCTGTACCAATAAGTTTGTGTAGAGTTGCTGTCTTTCGTAGCCGTTCTTTCTGATGGCAATATGAGAATAACTTTACCCACTTATTTGTCGCCTTTTTATATGTAGTAGGATGGTACGGAATGGTTTTACATTAAGGTGTCATATCGAACTGCCTCTGGTGTATATTACTCTGTCCACCTCATGTGCTTGTTGTGTTTCTATTTGCAATTTACAGTACAGCGCATCAGTGGATGAAAAGTTCAGAACAACATGCGCTAAATCAGCCGACACTTTCTGCCAAAATAATAAATCAGCATGTGGGATAACAAGCAAAAGGAGAAGGTACTTGTCTTAAAAATGTGTTAAAGAAATAGGAAGAAATTTTTCATGAAAACTTCCAGTGTATTAGAAGCAAAGTACCTATTAGGCTCCATATTGTGCCCATGCTTAACAAGGAAGTCAAGCGCTTTTTCCGCCGAATGATCATTGTATAATATACGAAAGACGCCTATCCATTCTCCACTGTGTTGAAGATTAGTACTTATTTTTACCAATTTCCTTAACTTTCTTGCAGGCGATCCGCAGCTCTAATTACCAAAGATAATGTTCATTTACTACCAGGCTTCCCGAAAGAGGAAGGTAACTCCTTGAGGATTGCGTTCTACATCTTACTACCGTTATACCTTACGAGTGGTGGCGTCATTCCGGTGAATGCCCTCGAAACTGTGATAAAAAACAACAAGGCAGAACTGGAGCGAGTGCTTGGAGTTACAATATCTGAAATCAAGTCTGCTATCGTGCTCACAACCCCAAGTTCACCCACGACCACATCCAATATGACCACTGCACCTCCAAACATAACAACTCGATCAGTTACCATCGCCGCCACGGAGAAGACAAATGACGACTGGAAGTGGATCGTTATCGGAGTCTGTGTCGGAGTTTTGGTCCTTGTTCTAATTGCTGTCATCGTCTTCTGTGTGTAAGTTCATTCATAAGATAACTGAGATGCTACGAGCTCCCTGATTGGTCAAAAACCAATGATTCACTGCACTGGTAAAGCCATAGTTATTTTATAACTATAGGTTAAATTTCACTAGTGTTCTCTTAACACCCCACGTGGGTTATTACGCTGTTATACCAATACAAAGTGCGGTTTATTGCTTTTAAAAATAAAAATACTGTTGATGGAAAGGCATCAGTACACGAATTTTGGGTGCATAGCCCTCTAAACGTAGGTAATTGCTATAATATTGATAATCAATGATTGCAGAAAAACGCCTTTCACGAGACTGAAAACATCTTAGTAAATTTACACAAAATCAAAAGTACGGTAGGGACGGGAGATCTCAACGAAACCACCAAGGAAGACCATCTCGGTTTTTAATAAAATTGTAAATAAGATGTAAATATGCGGCTTCCCAAGTCAGACTCATTTCATGAGAAATTTAGTCAGCTTTTTCCTTCTTTTTTGATGAAGAGAAGCTTGTCGAACCAGCGATCGATATTGAGGGGAAAATTCCAAACCGTGGTAGACTATTGTAAACTGTGTAAGATAAGTAAATTGACTGTTCATTTGTCATGACTGTAAATTTGACCAGTTCTGGTCAAATCCATATTAATGATTTTCCCGTCAGGAGCTTTGTCTTCCTTTTATGTTATCACCCTGTACTCCAGATATTTTACGCTGGTTTAATGATTCTAATGAAAGCTCCACGCATGCTTTATCCTGCTGTGTAGTATTGAATCCAGCTCATGCACAAATCTTCCTTCATTTCTCTTCAGGAAAAAGAAAAAGCATACAGCAAAAATAAGCAGTAGCCACCAAGCTTTAAATGCATCAGACGAAAATTACAACCGAGGGGCTGACAATCACGGACACGAAATGACGGTCTATCACGGACAGCAGCCAGTAGTATGAACCACACGAGTCTAACCCACAAACTCTTGCAGTCACCACAAACAGTGTTTGTGGTGACTGCAAATGGACTTTCAGGATCGACAGATTTACAAAAGCACTTATAAAAATGAGCACAAAACATGTGGGACGTCGATTTGGAGAGACTTAAAACTTAAAAAGTTTATCGAGCCTTTGTGACTACTTCTAATACTCTGCGGTGTCCAGAGGGTTATTAACTGTTTTAAGTTGAAGTTTTGATTAAATGGGCTGTTGAGCTAAGTATGGCGATCCTTCAGTATAGAAAAGCAACAATACACAATCGAAAAAAACTCAAAAAAGAAGACCTAATTATATATACCATGATTTCTGAACAAAGTCAAAATGCAAAATGAACTAAGTTACAACTTAACTTCATCCGGTATGAAGTACTATCAACCATTGTGAGAATGGTTACGAAGCTAATTAACCATTGAAAAATTGAAAGACAAGTGAAGATTCTGCAAGATTTATGTTAACGACGTTAACTTCAGGTGGTAGAAAGCTCTTCAACCCCCAGTAGACTCATCACACCGAAATATCATAAAATTCAGTTTCAAGGTATTTTGCAGTTCCAGCAGCAACCACTCGAAAGATGCCTAAAGCACCATAAGCCACGCAGGAGGTTTTGGGCTCAAGTCCATAAATTTTGCCGGTAAATAGCTGACTGGCTCATGTTTTACCAGTCTGATTTTTCACAAGTCACGTATATATCATGATGAAAAATTTGCCTGTGTGAGTAGTTTCATTTGTGTAATAAGTGTTTCCGTAAAGATGTTTAAGCACAAAGAACTAAAATTGTACTTACGCTTTCGACACAAAAATAAATCAATAAACTTGATTAAAGTTCCTCCCATGACTTTTGAGAAGCTAAATATCATAGAGTATGCGCTTTTAGGGGGCTTGGTTAAAGTTCGGCACAAACTGTGAAAATAGTGTCGCAAACATACACTCATACGTTCGACACCATACTAAAAAAAAGCAATCGTTGAATAACCCCCCCCCCCCCTCTCCCTTACCCTGCCTCTCTGTGGTGCATTGCCTTCAATTTAGAACACTAATGCACACATTTGAAAGCGCTCAATCTTGCGCCAGATTGTACAAGATACTTATACATTTTTAAAAGAGCTCAAAAGTGCACTGAATGTTTTTCCTTTGTATTGCTAAAGAATCGTCTCCATTCTTAAGGGAGGGTCCCCGATAGGTTTTACGGGATCCGGGATTAGGCTTATCTGAAGGCCGGGATCCGGGAATTTGGAGAAAGAGGGGAGCGAGATGCGGGATGGTTATTATGAACGGGACTCGGGAATCGGCGATTTTAAGGGGCAGGACCCGGGAAATAATCACCTTAACGAACCGAGAGCCGGGAAGTCCGTTGACGCGAATTTTAAGTCCAGAAAAGTCTAGCCTCCCACGCAGTCGTTTTCAGGCGATCGCGTTTCACTTCTAGCCACACAGCGCGAAAGTGAAACTCAATACCCTAAAAACGAATACATGGGAGGATAAAAAAAAGCCGCACAAAGGTTGGCATTCTTATCGAATCACGTGCCAGGTACACAACCTTTGCCTTTTGCTGTTTTTTTCTTTGCAACCCCTTGGTGATATCTGGAAATTCTTAGCCTTGCCCTGTCCTGTAATAGTGACCTTTGATTTCTTGGTGACCGAATAATTTAGTAATCGGTGCGAGAAAAATAGAGGCTGTCCGCTACTATCGAAAGCGATGAGTCGGACGTTGTGTGGCAGTCTTTTACGAGAAGGGGAAGAGCGGAAGTTGCTTTCTACGGAAAGAAAAATTTCGGGCTCAGCTTTCACAAAAGGTGGTCTCTTGAAAGGCTTTCAAGGAAACAGTTAGGTAAGTTACGTTTTTTGTAGTTACCATGTTAGAAAACCTATAGAAGAAACCCATGAAGGCTGTGTCAGATATCGTAGAAGAATTGGTAAAGGGAACAAAGAGACCCGTCTTTGACTTTGGTTATAACATAACCGGACAGTGTTCGCGTCGGCAAAAGTCTCAAAGCATGTTTTGCTAATTGGTGCTGAAGGCTCGAAAGCGAGAGGGACAATCTGGCAATTTTGAAAAATTTAAGAAACAAGGCTACTCCTAAAGTTAGGAAGTTTCTACCCCGAAATGACCCTAGACGTGGAGAATATTCACTCGGTTGTGCACCACAAAGATCCACTTTGCACAATGTTGAACTATGCGAGAAACTTTGGAAACGCAGCCAAGGAAGGCTTGAAGAGGACAACCCATTAGGCGGCGTATTATTTTACAAATCTGAAGTCTTCGTATGCTGTACCCGAACGAGCTGTGATCCTGTCAGCCATACCAGTAATTCGACCGTTACCACCTGTACCGATGGCACCACAGGGCGTACAGAGGATAAGGGACTGGGCGCAAACACTTGGTGCTGCCGTGCGTCAGTGTTATTCGTCTCTTTGATATTGACCTGTTTCTACTAATACGCTTTTCCGTGATCGAAGTTAAACAGAAGGAAGTCGTGACTGTGGCTAGCGTACGTTATTCGTGCAAAACTTCGAAAACTTCTAAAATGAACAGTAACATCTTTTTGGTGAAAAAAAACGGATCGATACTGATTGAGAAAATCATCATCCACCGAAAAGGCCCCTTTAATAACTGCCAATATATGAAAATCATTTATATGTGAACTGCAGTTGAAGAAATTACTATGAAAGCGATCCTCGCAGTTATGAATACAACTTAACTAGTCGTAAAAATAAGCCCTGAAAGAAAATCTGGCCCGAACGGGATTTGAGCCCATCACCTGTGCGATACCGGTGTAACGCTCTACAAACTGAGCTAACAAGCCAACTGGGAGCTGGTCGTAATGTTGTTTTAAAATAAACCCTCCAAGTGGTGAATAAATGACTGCAAATATATGAAAATCATATCAATGTGAATTGCGGTTGAAGAAACGAATATCAAAGTGATCCTCGCAGTAATGAATACCTCTTAACTGGTGGGCCCTTTTTTGGTATTGGACTAAGAAAAAAAATTCATGAACGGGATCGAGATTCACCTGTGTAAACCATCGGGATTACGGGATTGAGAGAAAATTTTAGTCGGGATCGCGGGATTGAAGAATCCTATTGGAGACCCCCTTAAGGACCATGATTATGTATTGATGTTTTTCCGCTTTCCACTTCCGTTCTCGGTTGTTTCCTGTGAAAATTCTCTCTGCCCCACGGGAGCTTTCAAACCTCTCTTGTTATGCCACATTTCTTTGATTTGGAGGAAGGTGTAAGCATGATTTGTAAAGCTACCTTCAATTGAATGTCGAAAGTGATCTGAGATTTCTTTGGTTTAACCCTTTAACTCCCAAGATCTGATCGTTCAATCTCTCCTCTAGCTGCTACAAATTTCCTTATAAATTCGTTTTGAAAATTTGGTGTTAGATCAAAAGAACAACTTCAACCTGATAAGTTTAAGTAATCCCATCTGAATGTATTACAAGGAGAAATTACATGTTAATCACTTCTGAGAGTTACGGGGTTAAATCAACTTTGCTCTGTGATTGGCGCAAAAAACTCGAAACTTCCACTGAAGCTATCAGATGCAAATTAAAAACAATTGTGACTTGCAATTAGTCAGTTGGATTTTTTTTCCCGCGCTTCAAGCAGTTTCCTTGTCTTTACTTTGATTCCTGATTGGTTAACAATAATGCTAACCTTTGTTCTGATTTGCCGCTGGGATTACTTTGTTTTTTAATTTTTCGGCACTCGATTGAAAGTGCTTTAATAATGGCCCTTATCGCCAAGATTGACCAAATTCATACATTAAACATGCGTGGCAGCAACCACGTAATATTCGCCCTCAAGGACACACCATGAGATTAAATAAATATAGATCTCATTTGCTACTGATAAACGTTTGGTACCTATTTGCAATCAAAAATGAGAAAAAAAAATTAAATTTTGATGAAACCCCTTGTAGAAGATTTGTTAAATATGAAATTTCTGTAATGCTGTGTTCCTGAAAGATGCGACTTCCTACCAACATTTTCTCAGTCATCAGACCAAAGCAATTTTGCGCGCCTTACACCATAGTACGTAATATTCCGATTTACGCCTCCAACTGCCCTTTAGATCATATTAGACCTCTTTTGTAGGGAAGGTTCAAGTTCCACCCCTTTGCCGCCATTTCAATACAACTTTTCTTGTTATGTTGGGATTTCTACACCAAAAACATCATAATACGCAACAAGATTTTTGTTTCCTCCATTTCACTGAAAACCAAATCATAATTTATATTTTTAATAACCAACTCTGCGAATTTTAAGTATACCGTCTCTCTTACTTCCTACACTCCGATATTGAAACATTACTTTGCATATCTCCATATGATAACATAAGGTTATAATTGCTGAGCGTTCTTTTAAGTTTACTACACTTAAATGTCAAATAAACTTCCTCTCATCTAGAACCCAGACAGATTTCCTCAGTTTAAGAAGCAGAGTTGGAGACTTGTTTACGTTCGAAGTTACTACAATGGAACCCAAACTTCCGCAAATACAATTGGAACGAATCATGTATAAGCTTTTTGAGGCATAGAGCACCTTTCCCATTCAATAAAAGACTTTGTGGGTGAGGAAGGAAGAGTAATTTTGCAGTTTGCAGACTAATGAAAAAACAAACATAACAATCAAGTAATTTGGCCAAAATGTTGCTCAACAGGGTTTCATCCAGATCCAGATGCAAACTCATAAGAGAAGGCGCGAAACTTTCGACCTTCAACATTTGAAATTATTCCTATCATGGACTTCGATACATTAATCTTAAGTACAATGTCGATTGAAAGACACCTTTTTTTTTTACTTTGTTTTGTTTTTTTCAAGGTTGATTTTCGTGAGAGCATGCATGTATCAGGTATTCACAAGGTAATCAAACCTTTTGGTAACGATTTTTGATGCGTATTTGAGTATTAAAGATGTTCTCACAATATCGCTTTCGTTAAGTGTAAAAACACAAAGCGCCATTAAGATGTTGGCCCTTGGTTTGAAGCTTTATATCTAACGCCATATGCGCGCCAGAGTAGTATTGATTCCAACTGAGAAAGGTCTTGACCAAATCGTCTAGTCACAATAGAGAACGATTTCACGCGTTCCATTTCCTTTTTTTCTGCACTCAGGAGAAAAAAAGAACAATTTTTCATCAAAATTACGATTTTACTTACCTTTGTTTAAGGGTTATCTGGAATTTTCAGCAATGAATCATGTGACTAAAATTTAGAGAGAAAGAAATCGGTTGGAGATATTTTCCTCAATTTAATCCACTGAGGAGCTTCTTATTTGCAAAAACCTGCTCTTCAATGACAGAGAGACAACCCAATTTCCGCATCGACGAAAATCTTACTTTTAAAATGTTAATTGCGATACGGCTTGCCTATTCAAATATCGTTCTAAGGCACCCCACATTACGGGTACCTTTTTAAAGATAAATATCCGTTACGTCGGCAAAAGAAAACGGATTGCTTCAATTAAAACAGAGTCTTAATCGCCAGAAACCCTGCCAACTAGTATTGCTATCCACCGGAAATTTGCATACTTTCATGTTGTCACGATGGCTTTTCCTTAAATCAAGTTGAATTTGAACCTTATTGTGAACAAATAAGCTTTCTTACAACACGGAGGTGTCAAAAGTTTGGACTCTCACGGCATCGATGGTGTCTCTGTCTACCATGCTTTCATACCAGCTTGGAGTACTCGTAATTACGGTTAGTCTTCATTACTACTTAAGGTCTACAAACCCACTCTAACATTTGAGACATAAACAGTTTTTACCACGGTTCCAATTTCCATGACATTTTCTTGACCATAAGTACTTTTTTGTACCATAAG